TTTTTTGACCTCCGAATGTGTCATTTTCTTTCCCTCTTTCGCTTTTTCTTTTCCTTCTTTCACCCAGTATCTTTCTTTCACTTCTCTCCCTCTCTCTTTCTTTCACTTCTCTCCCTCTCTCTTTCTTTCACTTCTCTCTCCTTTTTTTGACCTCCCAATGTGTCATTTTCTTTCTCTCTTTCTTGTCTTTTCCTTTTCTCTCTCTCTCTCTCTCTCTCTCTCTCTCTCTCTCTCTCTCTCTCTCTCTCTCTCTATTGAGGTTTTGGACCTTTGGATTAGAGGTGCAGGTGTGTAATGTAAAAGTCAGGCTTTTATTTCCTCTCTCTCTGTTTGCCGTCTAGACTACAGCCTGTAGCACCTTTTCTCTGTGGACTAATCCACTGTGTACCAGATCCGCCGTGTACAGGGCGTAATTAATGGTTTATCTAGAGCATAATAAAGCTGTGTTTCTCATGTGATCTTCAGTCGTACCCAAAATCATTTAGCTTATTTTTCCTTTTAACATGTTTACTGTTCTGCTTTGTGAGACATGAATAAGACAACTATAACTGCTGATAGATTTTTTTTTTAATGTTATGAATTCTTATGTAATATAAACATTCAAGACCCTGAGTGCAACTAAATGCTTTTTTTTTTGTGATTATCTGGTTGCTTCAACAAAAAATAATTGTAATTTTGTGCCTCTGTCACAATTTTGATTTAAATTTTAAAGTGTAGTTCAGTGGGTGAAAACAAGGGATGTAGATTGTGGAGAGTTAACAGGTTAACTTATTGTGGCCTTTGTATGCAAAGGAAACAGGTAAACAAATAGATGCAAATTAGAATTGTTTACTGTAGTTGTTTTAAAAAACGTTCGGGGCATTTTAGCTTCTATAGATGTTCAGCCTAGCCACCCTCAGCACCGAGCGGTTCCCTACAGCCACTTCTCGTAATAATGAACAGTCCTAGAGTCCTTATAATACAGCACACAACCTGGAAGAGATGGAGTTGTGTTTGAAAGATCTTGTCGTTGCTGCTTTGTACACTGTGTACTGGTCTTCCCCCTTTTTGATTTTGTAATTCCGTGACCGTAAGGCAGTTTTGTTACATTTATACAGTTCTGGCAGTGCTTTCATTCTTTGTTTCAATAAAACCCTTTCCTCCGTTTATTTAAAGAGACGTGTTTGTTTATCAGCGATCTGGCTGTGGAATAAGCCATAGCGGAGTTCCGCTGGAGGCCGAAGGCTGCCGGCCTGCAGCTGGGAACTGTTAGGCACTGGATGTCATGGGAACGGGTCAAGTTTAATCGCTGTACTTAACAGAGATTGATAGCATCTGCAGTTACGCACTGAAATGTGACAGCTGAACAAATGCTGGGCCTCTCCAAAGGCCTTTTCTTCTCACACTGTCAGCTGCTGGCAATTACAGGGAGGTATAATTGAATGATACAGTTACTGAAAGTCAGCAGTTTATCAGAGAATTCACAGCATCACAGTGAGTGTTGATGGCATTATTATTAATACAGCAAACAGGAGATTAAAGGTAGTATTTCCACATTAGTAAGGCTTGGTAACACAGCCTATTATAGTAAGAAATCAATCTAAAATGTCTTCATTGTCCCTTTGATGAGTATGCTCTTAAAGATGGTTCTTCAAGGGTTCTTTAGTACAGAAAGTAGTTCTACGTAGAACAATGAACCCTCAAAGAACCATTTGCATGCTTAAAGGGATCTTTCCATGGTGATTTTTTTTTTTTTTCAGATTGATGGGAGAACATGCTGTAGATGGTTCTATATGGAACCTTTTTGAAAAGGGTTGATGTCAAGCCTGTAGCAGCCTTCCTCAGATTGTTAGAGAATGTGTTGCATATGGTTCTATATACCACCAAACAGGATGGTTCTGTTGCTAGAGGCAACAACAGACGAAACTTTTCAGAAAGGTTCCATGTCGAACCATCTACAGCATATTCTCCATCAATCTGAAGAACCATTTCATCACGCAAAGAACCATTTAAGCATGCAAATGTTTTTTTTAGGTTCATGGTTCTACATAGAGCCATTTTCTTTACTTTACATGCTTCTATATAGAAGCATTTTCTTTACTAAGGAACCCTTGAAGAACCGTCTTTTTTAAAAAATAGTCCTCAGATTGATAGAGAATGTGTCGTGTTGTACATGGTTCTGTATAGCAACAAAAAGGGTTCTTCTATTGCTACAGGCTTGACATCATGACAATAGAAGAACCCTTTTCAAAAAGGTTGCATATAGAACCATCTACAGCACATTCTCCATCAATCTGAAGAACACCTTCATGATGCAAAGAACCCTTTAATCATGCAGAGGGTTCTCTGAGGGTACATGTTTCTGTATAGTGTAGAGTGTAGGCAGCCTCAATGTATCATTTTCAGATATGATGTATCACATAAAAAGCTGAACATACGGCCCTAGGAAGATATGATCCTGGAAACAGAACCTTGGGAACATAGGTACTCTCCTCCAGGGCAGAACCAAAGAAGGGAACTTCAGACACCAAGCAAGTCTTGGCTGATTGACTATGACACTCTGTGTCTTAGAAAGGAATATAAGACCCATTGACTCAAAACTCACAGAAGAAGCCAACAGGCAGTTTGACTGTAAGTGTCAGATCTGAAACATGCTGGCGTTTTCTGTTCAAGCGTTTCAGTTAACAAAAATGGTCTGCATTCATGGTCTAAGCTGTTTTTTTCTGTGGGCAAAAATGAACGGCATTCTTGAAAAACACTGCTAAAGCACTCTGGATTGGGCCACTCTAATATGTTCCAAACCTGATATGTTCTGTTATACATTATTATACGAATTCAAATATGTATATAGCTAAATGCAAGCTAACATGGCTGCACACTGAATTAACATCATAAGACTGGCAACACCAGCGAAATACCCCTGCAAGGTCTGCTACATAGTTAAGTGTCTTTGGCAGTTTCAGGCTACAGTCTGAGTAGCTAGTGTTGGTATGTAACAGTGTTAAAGTACAGTATTAGTCTTTCTTCCATATGACTCTGTTACAGTGTGCAGGAGCGTTATCTTGCTTGCAGCATGTGTGTAGTGTTATTTGCATTTTAAATCCTTTGCAACCCTATAATTCAGAGGATAAAGTGACATTTTGGGGTACAGAGGAAACCTCACCACCAACACAATCATAACACTCAGAATGGGCTAAAATTGTCACTACCGAAACACTACATTTGGTAACATTTCGGTAGTGACAATTTTAGCTCATTTTGAACAGAACTCAAAAACACTAGCCAGTGCATGACTAGCAAACACAGCTTTAAACAGCTGTAAGCACATAAAATCATAATATATTTATTAAAACACAAAAGGTTGACTTAATTCCAGAAAATGTGTTTTGTTAGTGACGATTCTTAATGTTACACACTGATTTTCAGACTTCGGGACACAATAGCTTCAAAACAATGGGGTCTAACTGTTCATCATGTGGCCGTGAGGGACAGGGATGCAGCCTGCTCTAAAATGCAGAGGCGTGGCTAAAATAAGGGTCCGCCTACAGAATACAATTGTGTTACGCTAGTGACATGAAAACACACACACACATTTTCTAAGCTGCTTATATATATACATATATATATATATATATATATATATATATATATATATATATATATATATATATATTTTAATCAAACTCATGAAAAATCAAAAACTTTCAGCTTTAAAGAACTCTGGGAAAAGGTCTGGGAACCTTGGAGGAAAAAATAAGTATTATTTCCACAAGAGTAAATTTAGGTGTGTTAGGGTTTGGGACAGACACCTCCCAACACACTGTGAAGAATTTCTCATCAGTTCAACCTAAAAAAAATGACTTCAACTGGTAAGAAGTAAATTTACTGGACTTAGCAAGGAGGCAGTGCATTGGAGAGGCATTAGAGGAAATACTTTTTCTTTGTGAAGACATTTTAAATCCCTTTTCTATCCCCTGGGTGGAGAGGGAGAGTGCAGACGTGGAAAAGCAGCCACAGGAAGCGAAGGCCTGAGAAATGAAGGGTGTCGGACGGTGAAGGAGGTTTGTTTTTCCTCTGGAAATTGCTTCTTGCTTGATGTGGGATTGGAGAACAGTCATTTTGAGATCGGCTCCAAGTGCCAAATTTGGAGATCTCTAAGCAGTTAACCAGAGGACTCGCTGCTTCAGACTGCTTTAGTACAAATCAACTGTTTTTATTTTTAAATTGCATAAGAAGATTCAGATGTAATAAAATTACTGACAGTGTACATACAGGCAGCCCAAAAATACAGGGCATTTAATTTTTTACGCTTAAACATGTTAAAGTCTTTTAAGTATTACAGAGTTTCCTTTTCAAAATTTCTGCATAATTTAATCTTTAAGATGTAAACAGAGTCATTCTGAGTGGTTTGGTGTGAAACCACTGTTCTAGAGAAACTTACAGTCAGAATTGTTCACAGTGGTGGTCCAGACGTCCACCTCTAAAAGCTCCCTCACAGAAAGTTATTAGAGAAAATAGTTTTGAATTCACTGCCTGATGTCTGAGACATCACTGCTACATGATAAACAATAAGAACCTCATTAAAGAGAAACCCATATCTCCCATATGAATTCACAACAAATGATTTTTAGAAGTTTTTATTCACTGATTCATCAAAAACCTACTGCAGATTGTTTTATGATAGTATTGCTAAAATGTATTGTAATCAACTTATTTTCATGGTGGTCATGTGGGGGTCCTGACCATTGAGAAACAGGATGAAAGGGGCTATCAAAACATGCAGAGAAACAGATGGACTATAGTCTGTAACTGTAGAACTACAAAGTGCTCCTATAGGGTCAGTGGAGCTGATAAAATGGACAGTGAGTGTAGATGAAATTAAGTGTACTTAATGAAGTGGCCAGTTGGTGTGTGCAGTATTACATATAAAACTGGTATGTAGGTTCACTGGTGGTTTTGGATAGTAAATAAAATGGCTATATTTATGTTGTAGACATCACAACCCCTAGTTCCTATCACCACCACTGTACACAAAGTGGCAGGTTTCTCAATGAATCATTTCACATCAAACCACTTTGAATGGTTTTGTTTACAGTTCAACCACTGAATTACGCAGAATTAAAAAATATGGAATTTCTCTTTAACAAGGTGCAAATAAAAGAAACCACAAGTCATGGAAGATTCACTCCTATGCACCAAGTGCAGAGGGTTTCCATTGCCCTTTGTTTGGACTCTGGGCTGGATCTGACCTGTTAAAGAAGAGTAACACCCAGTCTACAGTGCTTTCAGAGCTGTCCTTGAGCTGGCAACATTTATATGCTTTCAGGACTGTTAAATATTGTATAAAAATTAAAAAAAGGCTGCTAGCGGTAGTGAACCCGTCCCAGCGTGCCTGTCCCCGTGACTAGAATATCCGGCTGTCCGTTTCTCCAGATTTCCCTGACGATCCGCTCCCTCTCCTCCAGCCTCCGAGCTCTCTCCAGCTCCTCGGCCGAGGTGAAGACGTTGACGCTCCTGAGGGTGCCGTTCGACTGGCTCTGATCACTCATGGGTGCCACGGTAACCTTCGGCACTTCGGCTTCTTCATCATCTCCTTCTCCGCCACTCTCGTCTTCTCCTTCATCTAAAGGTGGATGGTAGAAATTACATCACAATTATGTCGCAATCCACTCTGACCGAGGTGCCAAACATGGTAGAAGAACCATTTTTGGTTCCTTAAAGCACCTTTCAATTGATGGTTTGTCAAAGAACCATTATTGATGATATGTGAGCAGGAAGGACCGTTTTAGGCCTTAGAAGTTTATAGAGTTATTACTGTCATTTTGTTATTCTACTCTAATAATTATGTAATTACATAAAGACATAGTAAGTATGCAGTCAGTTACATTTAAGGTCTTATGCAAAAGTTTGGGCACGCTTGGTCAATTTACACATATTATTGATTTTCTAAGTGAAAGAAAGTGAACACACTTCTGCACATTGTAATGCACAGTTACTGTTTATTTCCTGAACTTAAAATATTGGGGAAAAATGTAAAAATTTGACCTGTGCAAAAGTTTTTTGTTTTATTTTTTCCCCAATGTGTTAAAACTAGCAAATAAAAAAAATGTGTGTAGTGGATGTGTTAACTTATTTTCACTTAGAAAATCAACAAAACGTCATTTGACCAGGGGCGCCCAAACATTTTGCATACAACTATACTTTCGGTTTACATACTGTATTAAGTTTGAGTGCAGTTTGTTTCGATGTCAAGTAATGCCTAAACATGACACAAACATCTATGATGAGTTACAATTACCTTTGATTTACATTCTGTAATGACATCACAGTCAAAAAATAAATTATTTACAAAAATACAACAAACATATAAAGAGTGTTTTTCTTTCCACAAAACAGGACTGTACACACAACTTATCATCAAATTTGGATGTTCATCTCCTCTCCTACCTAGAAAAACAAATGTGTTATGGACTGAAAGTTTAGAATAAGGATTAAGGACTCCAAAAATTGTCTCCACTTGTTTCAATGAGCTACGAGTGAGAAATAATACATCATCACCATCATCATCATCCTAAATCGCTTGATCCAGCTAGGGTCGTGGTAGCAGTGGGGAAAGCAAAGATTTCCCAGACGACCCTGTCCCCCACAACTGTCCCCCGCAATTTCCTCTCTGTCTGCTCCAAGGCCAACTTGGAGATATAATCCCTCCAGCGGGTCCTACAACGACCGTGCCTGGTAAACCTCCAAAGGGGGCCTGAACCACCTCAACTGGCTCCTCGCAATGTGGAGGAGTAGCTGCTCTACTTTGAGCTCCTCCTGGATGACCAAGTTCCTCACCCTATCAAGTAGAGCAACCCATAGCAACCACCTGGGATACCATAGCAACTACCTGGGATACCAACACCATGGCAACCACCTGGGATAGCACAGCAATGGCCTGGCAACACCTTAGCAACCACCTGGGATAGCATAGCAATGGCCTGGCAACACCTTAGCAACCATCTGGAGTACAATAGCAATGGCCTACCAACACTATAGCAACCACCTGGGATACCGTAGCAATAACCTACAAACACCATACCAACCACCTGGGCTACAATAGCAACAGCCTAGCAACACCTTAGTAACCACCTGGGATACCATAACAATGGCCAAGTAACATCTTTGCAACCAGCTAGGATACCACAGCATTAGCCTAGCAACACCTTAGCAACCTGTGACCACTCATGACATCATATGACATCTGTCATGACATGTTTATGGCATAGTTATATAAATTATATCCTATCACCCTCCTGGATGACCGAGCTCCTCACCCTATCAAGTAGAGTGTAGCTGCCACCCTGCGAAGGATGCTCACTTCCACTGTTGTGTCTGCGATCTCCTTCTTTCGGTCATTACCCAAAGCTCATGACCATAGGTGAGGGTTGGGGTGTAGATCGACCGGTAAACAGAGAGCTTTGCCTTATGGCTCAGCTCCTGCTACACCACTACAGTCTGGTATAGCAACTGCATTACTGCTTCCACCTGAAATAATTCATATAAAACTACAACAAGCCTTCAATAAAGTACTTTCTATACCAGCCATATTTCCAAGCAAGGAACCATTTATAAACCTTTATTTTAAGTGTCTGTAGGTATCATTGGCATTTCTGAAATACTGGCCAACTGCATACATCATAAAAAAACAAAGATAGATATAGACAGCCTAGCTACACCTTAGCATTCACCAGGGACACCTTAACAACAGCCTAGAAACCATAGCAATAGCCAAGCAACACCTTACCAAGCTATGACCTCTCATGACATCATTTGACATCTGTCATGACATGTTTAGGCATGTTTATATCACTTATATGTAGCAGTGTTCAAGTAAAGTGTTACTGAATAGTATATTTTTTTCCAAACTGCTCACCTTTATCTTCATTCTCGTCTTCCTCACTGGATTCTTTGAGCCGTCTCCGGTCGGGTGAAGGGGATTTCTTTGTGGCTGGACGTGGCCTGCAGGCGATGCCCAGGATGAGGAGCGTCAGAGCCAGCAGCAGCCCGAAACACACACCGAGCATGAAGTACAGTGCAAAACTCTCCATGTTCTCTGTGTCAGACAATAAGGGGCAGATGAAGTATACTTTAGCTTTCTTGTATTTTATTTTTTCCCCATATTTATGTGACCATTTTCCAACCTCTCTATCTCCTAGCAGCAGCCTAGCAACACCTTAGCTACCACCTGGGAAAACAGCAATGCTGGGGGTGCATTATACCCCTTTAGCCAGGGGTCAAGTTGTGAAAAATGCCAGGGGCAATGACTGTTCCATTGTCAAGACATGAGCTACTCAGTACTCCTCACTATATTAAATACAGATGCCTCTCCACATGTTAGTTGTTCAGTCAGCGTTTTATACCTTCAATATATATACCAAACTCTCTATGACAACAACGTTTAGAGTATCAGGTATGATGTTAACATCCATCACTGCAGCATCTGCAACTCTGCAGGTTAATTTAGCAATTCTCATTCTGGAGCTGCAATGAGACATGGCACTCTTTATATATTATTTTCAGCTTTTATTTAATTTAATATGATAATCCCAAAGATTATAAACATAAATATGAATTTTTAACAATCTCTTACTGGTTTTTCTTTTAAAGATTCACAGATCATATTTTTTATTGTTTCTTATGGTTGCCAGGTCCAGCAAAAAACCTCCAGCCCCAAGTTTGCTTAAAAGCCGTCCACTAGATGCTGAAACTTTATAACTTTTCTACCATGGCTGCATTTTCAAAGTGGCCCAAATTGGCAGGAAAATCGCAAATCTGGCAACCCTCAGAATGAGTGTGTGCATAGTACCAATCTTATCGCAGCAAAGCAGTAAAAAGCAAAAGTGTGTGATTCTACACAGACACCTCTTCTGTAGGTGCGTGTGTGTTTGTGTGTACCTGAACACCTGGAACCCCTGAGTGAACACTTGTGTCAGCAAATAGCTGAATTCACTCAATGGGAGTGTGGAAACATTGTGTTTATGTTAATGAGCTCTCAGTTCTGATTGGCTGTCCTGAATTGTGCCTTATTCAAACAGCAGTACAGTCTGAAACACTCCATATAACTTCAGTGTGAAAGGCAGAGCTGCTGTAGTCTGAATAGGCTGATGTATGTAATTGCATTGGTTTTGGGGACGTCACAAAAACAGTGTATTCAAAACCGGCTGCTTACGGTACATTTTAAACCTTTAACAGGCTGGAAAATGGCATATTTTAAAGCTTTAATAGTGTTTACAAACTACACCAAAAAGTAAACAAAGTTCAGTTTTCCATGCTTTAAATTAGCCATTAACACAGCAGGAAAACAAACACTGTCAACTCCCTTTTAGAGTGTTCAGCTAAAACAATAACCGACAGGCGAAGTCAAGTACAGAGAAACAGTGAGACTATTTTAGAGATTTCCCAACAATTTCAGACAGACGTCAGAGTTTGTTGGCGTATGTTTAATCTGTGACAGATCCTTTAGAACAGCATTAACACACCTGTGTTTGAAGTGGCCCAAAAATGAACTCACTTTTTCAATGTAACGGATATTTCCATGTGCAAAGGTGTAAAGCCAAATCAAAGAGATCACTTGAATCTTTGGAATGGGCTTCTTTCTGCTACTGAATTCATGAGGGTAACGTTGTTTCTCCAGTTTTAGCTCTGACATCCAACTCTACATACTTAAAAATAGATGATTCTTCAAGGGTTCTTTGGAAAAGAAAATGGTTCCCAGAAAAGCTTCAGAAACATTTTCATTACAGTGGGCCGAAAACAGGCCGCTTTGGGGACGTCGCTCAAAAACGGTCAAAAAGTTAAAAGAGAGAAAGTCTACGAAGAGTTACAGGTGAACTCCAAAACAGCCTTATTTTGTCATTGTGTGGCTGTGGGTGTGACACAATCGATTACAGTTGATTACAGTTGCAGCTCAGTGATTTGATATGTCAGTTATATTTACATATTGTTAATTCTGGCGTCATTGTAGCACTATATGTTCTGTTTGATGAAAATTAGCCAGCTAAATAAATAAACAAATAAATAAATGAATGAATGCAAATCATTTTGCCTGACGTCACTGGTCACGCCACATATATGCAGCTTAAAATTTCAGCACCCCCAACTTTAAACCCCTTCCCACATCCCTGCTACTGAAGGCAGAATATATCCAGTTACAGAGAGTATAGAGTGCGAACCAGTTAAAGAGAGCTGCAGCAACCAGTGATGACATTCAGCTGGCGGCTCTTCCTCTGGTTGGATTTTATGTGCACAGATTTCAACAATAACAACTGGGCTTTTTCAAGCTGTGATTATGAAGCTACATGTCATTTAAAGCTTTAAAGGTTTATACTCATAACATTGCAGTTGTTGCCGCAGTTTCGGCACCACAAACTGCATGTTGTCCCAGAAACACTTTAGAGACATTTAATGGGACATGAAATGATAAAATGTTCCCTGACTAAAACATTAATGAGTGACACTTCCCTCCCCCAAGTGGATATTTTGACCATAATCTCAAAATATAGCAGTCATGTGGAAAATAAGGTGGACAGACAAAAGTCATACAGCGTCATTAACATAAAACTAAAGAAGCAAACTTCAGACACCACACATATTTCTGGCTGTTTGACTACATTTATGGTAAGAACAGTGCAAAGTAGATTTTTTGTGCCAAACTATTGCTTTTAAAGTAATACATAGTTCCCTAACAATGCTAACATTGCTAATGCTGGATGAAAGTCAGTGGAGGGCAAGTTCACATTAACTGACTGACTAATTCTCAAAATTGTACAATATAATCACATAAACAGAACGGCTATAGGTGTATATGTAGAGTGGTATGTATCCTACCTTTAATATGGGCGTAAGTGGCCATGCTGTTACTCAGCAGCTCCATGTCCTTCCTTACGGGATTCATTCTGCTCCTTTCTGGCTGTTACGCTCACAAACTCTGCAGTTTAGCTTCCATTATTCACCTCGCATTATGCCTCGGCCCTCTGAGTGCTGGGGGTTAGAAGAGAGAAAGAAGTCCTTCATGTATAAAGTATGATATAAGTAACAAATGTTATCGTAAGTCAGATGTCGAGTCTTAATGTGCTGCATGGATATAAATATTAGATGTTTAAGAAGGCGGAGGCCTTGCCTCCCATGATGACCCCTAAAGTGCAGAGTGTAATTACACAACACTGCTGCTTCTTTAGTGCTCGAGAGAGTTATTATTATTGTTTTGACACACTATTCGTATGCAGAGGTGGACAAAACCCCTCTAGTGAAAGCAGAGGCCCTTTGTAAAATATCAATCAAGTAAGTAAGTAGATGGACTGTCCTAATGAATTAGTCCAAACTGCAGTCCTAAAAGATTTAGATTTATTAATTATTAAATAAAACAAAAAACTTTATTTAAAAAATGCTGTCTTATGTTTTCATGTCAGTACCGAAACACGAAGAGTTTTAGTCTGTGGCGGAGCTTTTTTAAGCCACACCCCAGCATTTTAGAGCAAGAAGTGAGACTGCATCCCTGTCCCTCATGGCCTCATGGTGAGCAGTTAGATCCCATTGTTTAAGTAATTGTGTCCCAAAGTCTGAAAATCAATGTGGAACATTAAGAATTGTCACTAGCGAAACACATATTTTCTGCAATTAAATATATTTTTTTAAGTTTTGATAAAAATGTTACGAATTTTTGTGTGTACAACTGCTCAAAGCTGTGCTTGCTGGTCATGTACTGGCTAGCGATTCTGAGTTCTGCTCAACATGAGCTAAAATTGTCACTACTGAAACATTTGGTAAAGTTTCAGTAGTGTTATAATTGTTTTGGTGGTGACAAAATCACTTGTTTTAATAAAATAAACATTTTTTAACAAGCCCCAAATCTCATAATATTAGCATATCACACATCATCCATTGTTTAATTCAGGGGCAATTTCACCTCAGAGAGAGAAAAAGAGAGAGAGAGAGAGAGAGAGAGAGAGAGAGTGCAAGGGTACAATTTATTGTTAAAAACAAAACAAAAACAACAATTATCATTTTAACTAATAGGTAAGTAAACTGACTGTGCGGTGATCATCTAATAGTCAGTTACGTTCTGTTAACTTATTATTTGAAATACAATGAAATGAAATTTTAGGGCAGCCAGGCTACATAAGTTAAAACTCCAAATAAATTTTTGTGTTCATATATAAAAAAAATCACGCATTTTAAAAAAAAACAGGAATGTTAAATTCATGTTAAACATGAAAACATTTTGCTAAGATGTGAATCCCTACATTCAATGAAAAAGTAGCAACTGCACATCTTACAAATCAATTAAAAATAAATCCGGGGGACTTCCCAAACAATTCTAAAATGAACTGGGCTGAGACTTGGATTTCAAATGCCCAGACAACAACCCCGTCTTTCACATAGTTTTGACTGAGCTCTCTTTTAAATCTCTTTCAAAACACTCACAATCATCAGATTCATCTGTTCTGGGAAGGCGTCCAAAGCATCAACCCACATTACAAAATGTTCTTCTGGACGTTGAGTGCAATTACATATTTCTACCAGAGAGGTCGCCAAATCCCCAAATCTTACATAGTGTAGCTTTAAGCTCCCCAAAATGTTGTGTTTCTATAGTAGCAGCAGTAGCGTGAGGAACTTTAGTGCAGTGGAGCTAACAGTTGATTAGAGGAGGGTAGATGCTGTTCTCTGTGGGTGTATTCAGCAATTCCACAAACATACACTGACAATAAAAAACGTATAGTTTATTCCAGCATGACACTCCTTGTAGATCAACTCAAGCTCTTAGTAACCGTATCTGTGATAGTCTATCTCTGTTAGTGTGTGTGAGCAGGTTATTGTTCGGGTTTTAAATTCAGCTGTACCAGTCGGGCCTGGCTCAGGTCTCAAAGCTCCAGGCACCGGTCAGATTTGTGTAGAAGTGTAGTATGTTTGTGTGGCATTTGTTCGATGATCTGTGCCTATAGGAGCTTTATGTGTCTGAGCATCCCATCAAGCTGTCAGTATCTGTGGCAGTGAACTCTTGTTCTCTGCCCTCACCAGTCAGATGTTTCCATTTTTCCCACAGAAACACAATTATGATAAGCTTCACACACACACACACACACACACACACACACACACACACACACACACACACACACACGCTCTGTGAGGGCTCCTTCTCTGGGAAAAAGTTCTAATCCCAGTTTTGGTTACTCTCTCTAAGGAGGAAGACAGGATGTGAGCATGTGGCTCTGCATGTTTGTTTTTGTGCAGTTACAAAATGAATAATTAAAGAAAACAACTGTAAAATGCTCTTGCTTTTTTGATTACTGAGGTTAAGAGTAATGTTAGGTTCGGGATAATACATATTGAACATAGCACTATATATATATATATATATATATATATATATATATACTGTATATTGTATACATATTATTACAACATATAGATACGTATACATAAATATATATATTCAGAGATGGGCCAGTAGCTAAGTAGCGCATTGCTTTTTGTAGTTAATAGCTGTAGCCGTTCCAGTTTTTGAAATGTAGCTAAAGGCTGTAGCGCCTACAAAATTTTCTGTAGCTATAGCGGAAATTTTCTCTACAATTTCGCTACAATCCGCGCAAAATCTGAACCATAGAACGCGGTCGTTAACTGGGCTGATGGCGACTGTGCAACCCTGACTGAGCCGTGACTGAGCCGGGTTAAACATATCAGGAAACCTGCTCAGTGCTTATAAATGCAAATAAGTCCATTCATCTCCAAATGATCAATGTTTGTCTTAAATCTCTCTCTTTGCCATTTCCTTATCTGCATTGCTGTGTGACCTGCAATCTGCGTGTCAGTCTTCAGCGTTTAAGGGTGAATTAGCAGTTATGTATTAACTCCAGGGTTTACGACCATTTATTGTGAAAACTGTGTTAGAACTGTGTGTTATAATGATTTTACAGCAAAGGAGGATCATGTTATTTTACCTAAAAATCTTATTATTTATTATGTTATTTTACTGAAAAATTAAGTTCTGCTGTGGAGAGATTACTCATGCCTGATTCTCACCCCAAACAGAGTCAGGGTCACTGATGAGGATTTTGAGGCTAAACTGTTGCTGAAGTTTAACAGGACTCTGAATGTCATGTCTGTCACAGATCTCGCTGAAATATTTAAATTGGAGCAGTTTTATTTCAACAGTTGACAGTGCTTTGCACTAAATTGTTTGGTTTTTATCCAGTTATTTTTGTTGATTTTTGTTAGAAAAACCTGGAATGATTGACTTTGCCTTTACTTAGTCTAATTTTTTGTTGGATATCACACCTTTGATGTGTATGTTTGGTTGTTGGTTACACTGAAACTCACTTTTTGGTGATCTTTTTGTTTATTTGCAGCTTTTCAATTGTATGTTTCTTTCTGGCACATGACTAAATGCAGTGTCTTGTTCACACTTTCTGTTTGGCTTGTTTGGTGTGTCTGGTGGAGATTCACAAACATTCTGACAATCGCGCTTTGAAAGTAGCTAAAAAGTAGTGCACTACTCTTCAAAAAGTATCTAAAAAGTAGCGACTACTTTTTCTGGAAAAGTAGCTAAATTGTAACTAGCTACAACCTTTGGGAAAGTAGCTACAAAGTAGCTAACTACTAATTTTTCAGTAGCTATCCCAACACTGCACATATTACATATGAAACGTTTTATTACTATAATATAAATATAAATATGGAACATACGGTTGATGTCTGTATATAACCTTGTATTTCCATTTTTGTTGTTTTCTATTTTTACAGAATTTGAAAATGTCAGCTGCCCTTCACACATTGTTAAACTTTCATGATGAACAGACCAATAGAAATGGTCCAAAAGTACTTGGGAAAAAATCTTGTTCCATTAACTTCCATTCAAAGTTAAGAACATTGTTTACCAATTTGGGGATATAAGGTTTTACTGGGAATGCGGGTACACACTGAAAAACACTGTCGATTTTGCTTTGAATTGACTTGATTTAAACATGTACATTATTTGAATAAATATGACCAAGTAAAAAAGTAAGTAAACGGACGACAGTAACTGTGTTGATGTAATGTATGTCACTGGTGTGAAACTAATATAGACATTTAAATCAAGTAAATATCAAGCATTTTTTCAGTGTATAGATGTCTCTGTTTGGTCACTATTGTGACAAAACCACATATCTTCAAAAAGCAACGCCTGTACTTACATTCAGCAACCATGGGCTCCTCTAAGTAGCTGGCTGAGGATCAAAAAATGAAGCTAACAGGTGTCTACAAAGCAGGGCGAAGCATTAAAAGATATTGAAGTGCTTCATTGAGAAATGACAGTTAAAAGGAGCTGTGGAAGTCAAGGCAAGATCTGCAAGACCAAGAAAACTCTAAGAAAGGTAGGGGTACTTTGGAAACAAGTGCTGTGGAGTGAGGAAGTGAAAATGGAACTGTTTGGTCACGATGACTAAAGGTATGTTTGGAAGAAAAAAAGAGGCTGGCTTTAACAACAGGGCAGTGATCCAAAAGACCTCAAAATCCACCAAGAACGACATCAAGAAACACAAGCTAAGGTTTTTGGAATAGCAGTCTTCTGACTTGAGCATCATTAAAAAAGTCGGTGAGTAGATCTTAAAACTTAAAGTGTTCACAAAACTTGAAGTGTTCTGTATTCTGAGTAGGTGAGGATTTCTAAAAACAAGAATAAAAATCCCTAACAGGCATTTGGGAACTTTGAAATTTGCTAAAGGAGGTGTTACTAAGTACTGACTTGGTAGGTTGATAAATCTTTAATTTTTTAAAGTAAACAATTATGTAATTTGGCAAGTGGGGTCCCAGCTATTACATACAACTGTATGATACATATGGGACACATGAATGATCCCATGTCCTGACATAGCACAAAAACAAGTTAGTGTGTGTGTATGTGTGTATCTGTGTGTATGTGTGTGTGTGTGTATCTGTGTGTATGTGTGTGTGTGTGCATGTTTGGGAAAAGTGTGTTATTCTGTTTTTGGCCACTTCCTGTCTGAGTCTGTAATTACTGCAATCTGTAATCAACTGCGTCACAACCCAGCACTCTCCCACCCTGATGCCTATCTAAACCGCGGGCACAATACAGCCCCTCAGACCAAACTCAACACGTCCAGACTAAAACTGTACATGGTGTTCAGTCGGGTAACTACTCTCTAACGCTGCCTCCCTCTCTCTCTCTCTCTCTCTCTCTCTCTCTCTCTTTTTCTATTCTTTCTCACTCTGTTCCTTCTCTCTCTTTCTCACTCTCTCTCCATTTCCTCTCTCTCTCTCGCTAATCTCTCTAATTGCTGTGTTCTGCTCGGCCTCCTCTGTTTTATACAGACACTGTGGTTAACTAAAGTACAAACACTGTAAAAGCTCAGTCACACTGAATCACGCCTGTTCATAAACACAGTAATTTGCTGTGTTATTATAGAAAATATCTTAAGATGAGCTGATTTCACAATGAAATGAAGAATAAGGTATTTTACTGTGGACAAAATCATGTTAAATATTGTGAAATCCTGGCAATAATTAACAGTGTGCTCATGTATGCAAAGCAAAACCCCCACATCACTGCCAAGAACCTACAGGAAGGTTTGGCTGGCACAGGAATAGAGATGCTTCCATCCACCAAGTGTCATCAGAAGGAAACCTTAACCCCCTTAAAAGCCCAGACTTACTACACTCTAAGGCTTATTATTCAGTAACTACAAGGACTACAATGCAAACTTTCTGAGCTTAACCAAACTATCCACTTAGGCTAGGTTATAGAAGTGTGTATTAAAACTTTGGGCCTTCCAGTGGGCTCTGGCCATTTAGAGGTTAACTATGATCACAGAAGTATGCAAAACAACAATGAAGAATAGAAAATCAAGGGTAGAAAGGCTGAGTATTTACAGCTTTCAAGTATTGATGCAAGACAGTTAATCACATTATTTAGCCACTTTAGGTTGGCACTTTAATAGCTGAACACAATGAATAGACAATTATATTGTTAATCACAGTTATTTATAGGGCGAGTGAAGAGTTCATTTGCAAAAAAACGATAAACTCAATTCTTTTAAAAAATGAGCTGACTGTGGTGAGTTATTCACACAGCACATTCTGAATCCTAAACATGTTTTGTCACAAAAGCGGTTGTTGTCCATCATCAAGGCATTGCAAGTTTACATTTTACAGCAGAAACAGTCAAACGACAGCATTAATTTCGAGCGGAACCCAATAAAGTATTCGGGTCAGGTGATGCAACACTGCTGCAAACTGTTTTAGGCAAACGGCTCCCTTCTCCCTACAAAGTGCAGTACGTAAGTCTTAAAATAACGGCTACTGCATCTAAACAAAGCACAGTGTGTCTAACAAAGAACCAACTCAAAAAAAGCCATGTAATCAGTTACTATATCATTTTGAGTTGAGCTGACCTCTCATTTGATATTCAGCCTTGGGATTTTCTGAGGTCTGATCTTATAGATGCTCTATAATGACCACTAATGGGCTGTTTTTGCTGCAGATTTTAGCACTTTACCTTGTTTTATGTTAAATAAAGTTAAAGATTGCACTTAAAAGAAACTTATATCCATTAAATGGCTTTGTTTAACTCTGAAACATGAAATGATCATTGGAGTTATGTTGTTTTATCGAGTTATTTTTACGTAATCAAAACAACCTAACAGCAGTTTGATTAACATTAGCTGGAATGCACAAAAAACATTTATGAAAATGTATTAAAATGGAGATACCTGTTTTTGCAAAAGCACTCATCATCAGTCATCAGCTAAAATTAAATTTTAGGATCGTTACAGTCCCTAGGTATCTCTAAAACAAACTCTGCTCCTAGAAGAGCACACATAAACACACAAATCAAATGCCCACACAACAAACGCATACCAGAAGTGTAAAAACAGTGTAATAACAGGACCCAGTAAGAGCTCATAAAAGCTGCTCTCAGCCAAACACACACACACACACACAGAGAGAGAGAGAGAGAGAGAGAGAGAGAGAGAGAGAGAGATGGGCCATGTCGGTATGGTGTTTGTTTAGGAAGCCAGCCACAGCAGCTCAAAATACCTCAATCAGAGCAAACAGCCACCAGCCTCAGACATGACTCCATGTTTACAGCACTGTGAATCACAAACACAAAGACAAAACATCATTTACACACACCACCCCTACACACACACACACACACACACACACACACACACACACACACACACACCACAACCACAGCATTTCCTACAGCACCATGAACCTGCAGCAACCATCTGTCACCCATAAAGACTACCAGCACACACACAATCACACACACTCAACATGTTCCTCGGGTCTTAAAACATCTCACTATCAGTCTACTCTGGAAACTCAATTTCTTTAGAAGTTCTCATTTACGATAAGGAGGTTGTCATTTATGATAAGAAGGTCTCCACCATGAAGTTCTGCTGCTTCACTTCAGTACTTAATTGTAGTACTGTTTTATCTCACTGTGGTCAATATGACATGCATTTCTATTAACATTCTAAAATGACTTCTTATTGTTATTCATCTTAAGTATCTATTTTTATATGTTCAAACTACAAATTATCTGGTTAGTACTATTATTTATTCAGTAACTACTATAAACTATTCAGTAACTACTATAAATGATTCAGTAACTACTACAAACTATTCAGTAACTACCATAAACTATTCAGTAACTACCATAAACTATTCAGTAACTACTACAAACTATTCAGTAACTACTATAAACTATTCAGGAACTACTATAAATGATTCAGTAACTACTACAAACTATTCAGCAACTACTATACACTATTCAGTAACTACTACAAACTATTCAGTAACTACTACAAACTATTCAGTAACTACCATAAACTATTCAGTAACTACTACAAACTATTCAGTAACTACTATAAACTATTCAGTAACTACTACAAACTATTCAGTAACTACTATAAACTATTTAGTAACTACTACAAACTATTCAGTAACTACCATAAACTATTCAGTAACTACTACAAACTATTCAGTAACTACTATAAACTATTCAGTAACTACCATAAACTATTCAGTAACTACTATAAACTATTCAGTAACTACCATAAACTATTCAGTAACTACTATGAATTATTCAGTAACTACTACAAACTATTCAAGACTACTATGAACCATTTAGTAACTACTACAAACTATTCAGTAACTACTATGAATTATTCAGTAACTACTATGAATTATTCAGTAACTACTACAAACTATTCAGTAACTACTACAAACTATTCAGGTCTACTATGAACTATTTAGTAACTACTACAAACTATTCAGGACTACTATGAACTATTCGGTAACAACTACAAACTATTCAGTAACTACTATGAACTATTTAGTAACTACTACAAACTATTCAGGACCACTATGAACTATTCGGTAACAACTTCAAACTGTTCAGGAACTACTATGAACTATTCAGTAACTACTATGAATTATTCAGTGACTACTACAAACTATTCAGTAACTACTATGAACTATTCAGTAACTACTATGAATTATTCGGTAACTACTACAAACTATTCAGGACTACTATGAACTATTTAGTAACTACTACAAACTATTCAGGACTACTATGAACTATTCAGTAACTACTACAATCTATTCAGTAACTACTATGAATTATTCAGTAACTACTACAAACTATTCAGTAACTACTATGAACTATTCGGTAACTACTATAAATTATTAGTTACTGCAATAAAATTAATCTGTTAAATCCACTATGGTTCCTTGAAATTTAAAGTAGGTGAGTAGTTGTTACTGGAAACAGTCTTAAAACTACTATGATTTATTCAGTAACTACTATAAATTATTCAGTGACTGCTTTAATTTATTCAGTATCTGCTATTAATCTTCAGTATCTACTATTAATTATCACTATCATTAATTAACTACTATGAATTATTCAGTTACAACTATAAATAATTCAATGACTACAACAAACTATTCAGTGTCCACTAGAAGTGATTCAGTAACTCCTTTGAATTTTTCAGAAACTATTCTGTTAGATCCAACAACAGTTCTTTGGAATTTAAAAGACTGAATCGATGTCAGGGGAAATGGTCTCAAACCTGAAAAAGCTGTGCAAAAGAACACTTGAATAAATACAAATAAACAAAGAAATAAAAGATTGTGATTTGATGTGTGAATGTATCTTTACCATTTCTAATACCTAGTTTATCTAATGAATCCTTCATTAAATTAAATCAGGTGTTCTGCAGAAGGAATTGAATAAACCTGTGTGATGACTGGAGTGCAGTGGGAGGTCAGGATCTAAACCTGCACTCTGATAACTGTGTTCTTCTAACTAACATCACCATGAATTATTTTGTGTTTTAGTGGCAAAAATACACCTCCTGCTGAGAAAAACGGTTTTAAAAAAGTTTTCATGACTTTTGAACGGTGTAAAAATTAAGTAAATTGATTTTTGAATCAGCATGAGTCACTGCAGCTCCTTAAAGTGTTTCTAGTGTAGCTTCTTCCAACATTGTGTTTGATCCACACTTCTCTAAAGAAGGTTTTCTGTTACCATAAACGTTGTAAACACATTGATCAAATGGAGATTTGAGTTGCATTTGGTTTCTTTATAAGAATATGAGCATTTTGAGCAAATATAACACTTGACACTCAGTCTTTTAATACTGAAATGAAAGAATAAACCATGCTGTAGCAGTATTTTACACTAATGTACATGTTTAATACAGAAGAAAAGAATAAAACAACAAGTAGCCCTTTGCCCACTCACCTATTTTGATGACTAGGCATCATTTTCTACAGCCGCGTCACAAGAAGCTTCTCAAAGTCATCACCGCATCAGTGTGCACACCCAGAGTGGCTGGTGAGGAACGTGAAGCATGCTGTTCTGAGGAGGAGAAGAGGAACAAGAGGCGGAAAGAGTGAAAGGAGGGACAGAGAGGAGTCTGGGAGGTGCTTTTTCTTACGAGAGTGAAGTTAGACAACACAAACACGCCTCTCCTTTCCAAAGAACAGGCAAAAACGGCAGCACTGAACCTCCCTCCACCCCCCTCTCTCTCTCTCTCTCTCTCTCTCTCTCTCCTACACAAGCAAATTGGATGCACACCGAGTTCGGAACAGAAGGAGGTTGTTTTCTGTCAGTTAAGAAGAAAAAAAGAAAGGAGGAATGGCGTAGCTCTTGGGAATCCACTGCGGTTTCCACCCACACAGCAACGACAGCCAGGCTGGGTCACTGCACTGCTGAACAACTTTTAACACCTTCTTTAAGTTCCTTCCTTCACCATTTGGTCCCTTACTCTGATCTTGTTCTACTCAACAAACTTTACGGGATGTTTAACAAGCCCTTGTAGGCACTTTGATCTTAATTAAGTTGGCTTGACAAGGCCAACTTTAATGTTCTTCTTTATCTTCTTCTATGGTGTTTGTGCTGTTTTCCTAGGTCGCAGTTTTTTAACCAGAACCACTTTGCAGGATCATAGAGAAAGCTGAGAAAGTTTAAATCTAATTGGCACAAATAATATCACAAAAGACATTTCTCCACTGAGCCTTGAAGACATTACATACAGACTCACATACATACTAAAACACACAGGTGTACATATTAGCAACCGCCTGGGATAACACAGTAATGGCCTAGGAACACTTTAGCAACCACCTGGGATACTATAGCAGTGGCCAAGTAACACCTTAGTAACCACATAGGATAACATAGCAATGCCCGGGCAACACCTTAGCAACCACCAGGGATACCATAGCAATGGCCTAGCAACACCTTAGCAACTGCCAGAGATTACATAGCAATGGCCCAACAACACCTTAGCAACCACCTGGGATACTATAGTAGTGGCCTCGTAACACCATAGTAACCACCTGGGATAACATAGCAACAGCCTTGCAACACCTTAGCAACCACCAGAGATACCATAGCGATGCCCTAGTAACACTTTAGCAACCACACGGGACAACATAGCAATGCCCTGGCAACACCTTAACAGTCATCAGGGATACCATAGCAATGGCCTAGTAACAGCTTAGCAACCACCTGGGATAACATAGCAACAGCCTAGAAACAACTTCTGGGACCATCTGGGATTCCATTACAAAGGCTTTGTCAAGCTAACTTAAAATTCTATATGTTCCCCTTCTAGTAAAATGTAATTTTATTTAATTTCATTTGGTTTATCAACTATTAGAAAATCTGATTAATAATAAATTTATGCAGAAATAGAAAATTCTAAATGGTTCACAAACCTTCAAGCACCATTGTATAGCTAACAAGTTATAGAAGAGTTGAGTTGTATTGAGTTGTTAAAGGGCCGATCTGAATCTGAGTTTTCCTCAATTTTTTAATGATACATTGTTTAAGATAAATGTTTGCTCCCCGGTCTGTACAGTTCGCGTACGAAAACTAAGCCACATAATTTGTGATGTGACTAAAACCACTACATTTATTCAGCCTTGCCAGTTTAACCCCGCCCATTCACACTGAAGTTATAAAGGGTTGACTGCTTTTTGAATACAGAGCAACCAATCAGAACAGTGCTCATTTACATATGTTAGTCTCAAAGGCACAGTACAGAAAACAGTCTGTTTAATTTAAAAGGATAAAGAAAGGTCGGAAAATGACAACTAATTTCGGTACATACACCCACAGATGTGGTTGTCTGGGAAATAATCAAATCAAAGGAGAATGTAGGATACGGTTCCTTTATCCCAGATAGACTTGCTTACATGTTTTCTATTAAAATGATCAAAGGTACATATATTAAAGGGCCCATATCCCACATTTTTCTTGTACTTTATTTTTCCCTTTGAGCTCCACTTATGATATATTATGTGGTTTTATGTACCAAAAATGATTAACTTTACATGACCATTTTCCAATTTCTCTTTCTCCCTTAGAATTAAACAACTTTATGCAAATGAGCTCTGCTCTGATTGGCTGTCTTTAGTGTGAGTGGGCCAGGCTTAAGCGCTGTCGGCTGAATAGGTGGATGTATGAGTTGTTTCTTGTGACATCACAAAAACAGTGAATTTAAAACAAGCTGTTTCCATATATGGACCATATGGACGGGGGAGCGAACAGTATGTTTTGAAACAAACTCCTTTTTTTTTAGCAAGGTAAATCGATTTTCCATGATTAGGGCCCCTCAAAAAGGACAAACTTCAAGATTGCTTGTCGGTATGTTGGTATATTCATAGAGTTTCAGAAACCACAATCCTTAAATACACTACAAATGTAATTTAAAAAGTGCATTGTATTCCTGAAACAAACAAAAACTTGTCAATACTACTACAACTACTACTACTACTAATAATAATACTAATAATAATGAAACAAGCTTAATTCGTATAGCATCTTTCTCAAACCCATAGTTGCTTCACTTTGCAGCAATGTTGTGAAGAACATTGTAGAACATCGCTCTAAGGCTGTGGTCACCAACCGAAGATCTACAGACTCTAAGCTCAATCAACCCCATCAAATCATTCTAATCACTGAATGACCTCCCTGGTTTGCTGAATGAGGGTTGGGTGACCACTGCCCTAAGCCCATATCCATTCATAGTTGGCCCTGATTTTTTGGGCCAATTTTAAGCAAATATACTGTATTTCCCCACTGTAAAAGCTGAGTGTGAGGTCATTAGTATTGTCACTAAAGCATTATAAACAGTGTGAAGTGCATACAAGCAATTCAAAACCCTCCAATGGCTTAATATACACTATATCCATCCTAATGTTCTAACAGTTCTTATTTGTGAAGCTGTGCAATAAAATACTTACTTGAGCTAAATGTTGAAATGTTTCGGGATCTCTGATGTTGTGCGGCATTCTGTATTCGGCCTGTATTAGGAGGTCTAAGCTGGTTTTATCTTAAGAAAAATTGATAGTATTTTTTTTTAAAAATCAGCTGAAACTGCCAAAGCAACTTAACTATCACATTTGACAAAGTTTATAGGTTCGTGTGTGTCTTATACTGTCAATTGAGTGTACAGCAGTGTTGGCCTGCATCTAGCAATATTCATGTTTTGTCTTCTTAACAACCTTGTAATTCATAGGAAAATATGCCTGTGCGACAAAATGTACCAGCTTATGAACATTTTGTGTACCAGAGGACAGGTCAGCAGCTATTTTCAGTTTATTTTTCTCATAGAGGAGACCAGCTTAAACATTATATGGGCATGGTGATGACCAAAGAGAGGGCTTTTATCTGACTACCTTCAGAGGGCTATTATCAAGCACTGCCATCCTGCATTATAATTGGATAATGAGATCACACGATGTAGGAAGGATGACAGGAAGCGTCTCTTCATTACAAGAAGAATAAAAACATAAAAAACGGGCTGCTGGGAAACTATCGACCTCCAAGAGTGATTCAACCACCCCATATCAAACTCTTCACCAACCCAGCTATCTGATTTTATCATAAGCCTGCATGCAATCAACTGCAATCACGGTTACCATTCACCAGCCCCACACAAGCACTCTGCATTTTTCTATGTTAAACTGCTGATTCAGATGATATCTGAGACGAATCAAGCCAAGCCCACACAAATGACTGCACTTTGGACGCAAATGCACCAGCTTTTCCCCCAGGAGCCATCTCACTGGAGCTGCTGTTACCCATCACAGTCTGCACAAGGAGCCCATTGGGTTGGAAGTAATGTTAGGTGTCCACAGGAAGACAGGATCCATCATCTACACTCTCTATGTCCAGTTGTGCTGGAGTGAAAGTGAGCCAAAGCTGCGAGGGTGGAGCAGGAAATAGTTTCGGAAGGCCGCAGTGGGCACGGAGCCTGACTCTGCCATTTAAAAGGGCTCTTTGTGTTCAGGTTTGTTTCAGGATCAGGAGAGTCCACTAGTGCAGTGAAACTCCTGTCCTTCCACTACCTGCCTTTCTAAAAACGGCTGTAGAAAATGATTTTCTAACCTACGTTACTTACGAAACTTGACGATGGTTTGGTGAAAAATCCAATTTTCCAGGTTTGCTCAGTTTTGCACAGAAACTACGAGGCCAATGTAGCTAACAAGTGTAGGCTAATGTAGCTAACAAATGAAATACCACACCCTACTAGTTAGCATCATGCTAAGTGCATGACTAAACCATCACACACCTCGAACCTTGTTAAGTAATCTCTAATATATTTTTACGGTGTTTCTGACATGCTAATAAGCTAATATTAGCTAATGTAGCAATGGAAGCTCATACCCAGAGGTTGAACTGTGATTTTGGAGCCCTATTTTTTTTAAAGGCAAGCTGTGATTAAAAACAATAGCTTTTTTTCTGCCTTAACGGCTTAATGAAGTCAATTCATTTACTTAGTCTGTTGTTTTTAGGATCCTTGTTTGTCAGTTTTGGCCGCAAAATGCTAACAAAATATGGTCTGATTCTTTTCTGACAAACATGAAAGCCTAGTTTATTAACTAGCAGGAAAACCTAGCTTACCAACTGGCAGAAAAGCCTTTTAACTAACAAAAAAGACGACGTCTAGCTTACCAACTGGCAGAAAAGTCTTTAAACAGCAAAATTAACCGCTGCGGAAAACGGTGTGCTGTTTTTAAGTTGTGCTGTTTTTAAGAGGCAGGTGATAGAGACGCTAATGTAATGCAATGTAAAATATGGCCTTCCTACCAAACAACACTGACCAATTTAACTCTGCTGAACTGATGAAGCTAATTAGCGACATTAACACTCTGTTAGCTAGCTGGGTGCAAATGCCTTTGAGTACACTTAACAGCCAGTTGGCAAAACAGTCGGTTGAACATTATAGTTATGCCAGATTATTCAAATTCATTAAAAACATTTACATGCATTGTTTCATCAGACTATTCCTCTTATTCACCAGAGTATATTTTGGTGTGTCCGTCTGAATTCACATGACCAAATCATAAGGCAAATTATTCAGTAACTGCATGAAATAAATGTACATTTTTAATTTATTTATTTTTTGTAAGTTAACAGTAAATGTGTTTTATGATCTACACATGTTGCTATATGCTTACAATTTACTGCTGAAAGCCAAAAGTCTTAGACGCTCTTTGTATTATTTTATAAAAACCGTTTTTACAAAGCAGATCACTGAAGAGACGCCATCTGTTTATAGTTTATAGCCCAGATTTGTGGAAAAATGGGTCGACTTTCAATAGACAAAAAATTGTGAGTTCAGCTTCTTTTATTATAAGGGTTTACCCTTCTATCACCCATCTATTTGACTGGAAAGAAGACAGTTACAGCTCTCATATGACCCCCACCTTTTGAATGTAGCTTATGAAATATGAAAGTTATGAAGAATATGACGAAGTGCGTTTTGGAACCACCGGTGGTCCCAAGGAGTTGAAAAGGTTAACCTACACAGTAGAATTTCACAAAGTAGGGCTGAGGATTCCTCATTTCACAAATTAAATTGAGCCTTGACTTTTGGACGAGGCTACCACCTCTAACCAACTCCAGATGTAGCCCTCATGCTCAGGTAGCTCAGTCTGGGAGGATGAAGGCTGCTCTCTCCTGTTTCTGACACCTGTCTCTTTTAAAGCTACTGGCTTCACATCTTTGGGGAGGCCACCTCAGCGTGTTTGGTGGTGAACGCAGATCACTCCTCCCTGCCGGGACACCTTGCAGATTCCTTTTGGATGACTGGCGCATTGCTTAGGAGCACAGGAGAAACGAGGACTGATGTGCTCTCAAGAACCCTCACTGCAAAAACGGTACTGTAGCAAGTGAAATATGTCTAATATTTCTTATTTCGGGATTGTTGTAAGCCTATTAGGAAGAATATTTAACTTATTTGTAGACATTTTGCTAATTTGTAGTGAATTCAGTCAAACAATCCCACTACACTGGCAGATAATTTTGCTTTTTCCTTGCATGTTTCTTACAATATGCAAAATTATTTGCCAATATAGTGAAAAAACCTGACTGAAAACACTAAAAACAAGAAAAAATGTCTAAAAATAAGTTATAATCTTATAAAAAGCTTACAACAGTCTCAAATTGAGAAATATTTTTAGATTTAAGATCATTTCACTTGCAAAGATACATTTTTTGCAACATGGAAGCTAACACGCATGCAAACAAAAATAACTGTATTCTGAATACCATACCATGGATTTTTGCAAAATAATGACGAAAACTGAACTGAAAAAGACATTAAATGAAAAACAAAAACATCAAAGGACCACAATGTCTGGGAGTTTGTTTTGTTTTGCTGAAAATAGGCCCGTTTTCACTGGGCTGTGAGTGTGAATGAGGTTCAGAGACTGTGATTATGTGGTGAGTGTCCAACCAATCAGCCCACTACTGCTCGCCCGCAGCTGCTCCGGGAGCAAAAATGTTCGTTTTAAAAATAAAACAGAAAAACCCAAACCACTCTGACCACGCAGACCACACGCTGAGACAACGAGACTTTAGTAGACAAACAAGCTCTAATATACAGTCCTTCAGCTTATCGTCTTCATCAGTGCAGTATGGTAGAACGCACAGCCTGCCTTTAGATTATATCATGTTGTCTAGCACCTCTGATAAACTGGCTTTTTAGACTAAAGATGCAGAACTTTATTCTTATAGACTTTATGAATTATGAGATTTGTGATTTAGAACTTCATGATTCATTAACTTTATAATTCATGAGCTTTAATTCAGAACTGATTCATAAACTTCATGATTCAACATTGTATGATTCAAACATTATGATACATTAACCTTATGACTCAGCAACTTATAATTCATGAACCTTATGATTTAGAGCTTCATCTTTCATGAACTTTATGATTCAGAACTCACTGATTCATGAACCTTACAATTTAGAACATAATTCACGATCGTTATGATATAAAACCTTATGATTCAGAACTAAATGATTCATGAATCTTATGATCTAGAACTTTATGATTCATGAACTTTTCGATTCAAAACTTCATGATTCATGAATTTTTGATTCAGAACTTTATGAATCATGAACATTATGAATCCAAACTTTATGATTCATGAACGTTGTGATGATGAACTTTATGGCAGCTCACTACTAGCTGCTAGCGTCAGCATCAGCATCTTATTCCCAGAAAAATAGTCTTTTAAGAAGGCTAGCATGCTGAACTTTTAATAACCAAAATAAAAAGCATTGTGTTTGTACACAAACTGGTCTCTCCTCCACTGTCAGTGCTGGTGTTTTCTGTTATTTCTTCCTAACTGCACTGGTGCTGACACAAAGGATTATGTGAAGGATACATCTATGATTCAAGATATTTATGATTCATTCACTTTTTGATTCAGAACTTTATGATTCATCAACTTTACGATTCTTGAACCTCTTCATTCAGAACTTTATGACAGATAAACTTTAGCATCCTGAATATTATGATTCATAACTTTTATGATCGATTAACTTTATGATTCAGAAATTCATGATTTGCTCTAGTTCAAAACATTAAAGAGAGTGTTCTCCTTTGAAGGAGTGTTATTCTAGAGGACCCTCAGCTTTAATGTTTTACTGCTCTAGACACACCGCTGTGAGCTAATGGTCTTCTACAGCTTGGCCTGGAGATGATGAGGAGGTGCTTTCCTCTTTTTTCCAGCCTCTGCATGTTTTGAGAAAGACCAGACTTCTGCTGATAACACTCATGGATACCATACCCACTTCAAATTCCTGAGCATCCCAAAAACACAAATACACACACTATCTCTCTCTCTCTGTCCACTACAATGTTTTCTTCTGTGTCAGCACATATTATTCACTTTCGGACTCTTAACTCAAATAACTTAACTCTCTCGTAGGTTTTAGGGCCTTGACCATCCAAACATCAACTACTTTTACGAGAAAGAAGAACTGGAAGCGATTTCACAAAGCTGTTAGCCTTAACCAGCGTGCAAAATACACTCTCGTATATACGGTTGCCAGACTATAAGGGACCAACTGGGTGAACCAGTTTGCTACAGCGCCACCCTGAGGCAGACCAGTGCTGCAGCTCTAGTTAGTTAAGAATACCTAAGACTGAAGCTCACTGATTGTGGGAAAAGCAGCTAAACAATGAGCTTCCCTTGAATCTGTATTTAAGAGCCTATTTTTCCTTAACAGAAACAAAAGGGTTAAATTCTTGAAACGCCCAACAGAGAATGATCCAATCAGAATTGTTTTCTCTGAGGCATCTATGTAGATACAGCCAGGCGAGCTCTCCCATTGGTTAGGACTTTAGGAGCTGAACTGAAGGCCTGTCAGATTAACTACCAAAACAATAAGGAAGTAATAGTGAAATCAACCAATCACGTTTTGATTTATAGTGGGTGGGACCACTATCTAGAGGAAAAATGCATCCTATTATAGTAGAGCTGTTTTTGAGAAAGTTTTGATATTCATGGCCCAAACTGAAGGACTGTCTCTAACAGTCAGGGTTTACCACTGGACACTGCATTATTATCACAATGCCCAGCACTACTGTCTGTGATTTGCAGGGCCTGGACTAAGAGCCCTCAGTTAAACCTCAGTGCTAACGTGAACGTTGTGATCTGTCCAAGGGGTGAGACGTATAATAACAGGCTGGGTTCTCTAGCTCTAAGCACACTTGCATAAGCAAATATTCATTGGCTCATCTTGATAAAATGCCAACTGGCATCTTCAACTCAGTCACACCCGTCACTGCTGGAGGATTCAACAGATGCTGCTTTTTGAAAAACTTCAATCACTTAGCAATACAAAAAAAAACCACCTAATAAATTCATCAATGAAACAACACAATGTAAATGCTGCTCAGGGCTTCACACGAACAGTGAAAAAGCTACTAGTCCAAACAAACTTAAAAAATATGTAAACAAATAAAAAACTCAACTAAACAAAAACACAGACACAATTCCTGTGAACAAAACAAGAGTCTCAGTACTTATTTCTTCTTCTTTGCGTATTCTTTCCTCCCTCCTTTCTCCGCAAAGTAGCGGACACGGTGTATTTTCTCCAGCTGACTCTGGATGGTCTCTGCGATGTTCATGTGGTCTGGAATGTGAACGTAGCGGACGTTGCGGCCGGTTATGAACAGGTCGGCCATCTCGGAGACCCGCCCGCGCCTGTCCCTGTACAGGACATCCTCCAGACGGACGTTCATAAAAGCGTCCACGTTGACGACGCGCCCGCGGGCCGTGCTCTCGTCCCGCAGGTCCACAGTGGTCACCTCGCCCTGGAGGCCCTGCAGCAGGACGACCAGGCTGTTCTCCGCGATGGTGCGCTCACGGATGGACTGAGACGCCATTTCCCTTTTCCTTTTTACCTGCAGACAGAGAACGCTTTCTTTAACCACCTCTGACTAAAAAGGAGTACAAAACAGAACAGATGAGTCTTAATAAAAATGTAATTTTAAGAAATAAAAAGGCCACAGTATTTTTTAATTTGCAGAAACTTCCAAAACGAAGAAGAAGATTCAGAAGAAAACAACTGACTGAGATGCCAATCAATAAATAAATAAATAAATAAATAACACAAAACATTTTCCTGAAAAGTATTATAATTGTAGATTATTACTTTAGCTTTCTATTAGGGCCTGACCGATAAGAAAACCTCAATACATGATGCTGATACCAATTTTAAGGTGCTCAAAATTCTGATAATCTGATAATATTTGCTGATATAAGTTTATAATAATAAAAACAACAGTAATAATAATAATTTTATTGTATATGGTGCTTTTCACAATCCCATGAATGCTTTATATTGGGATGCAGAACAACACAACAACAACCAGAAAACCCACTAAGACTTGGGGAAAGAGGAACAGAGCAGTAAAGAGGAAGGTTTTAAGTTGAGCTTTAAAGGAAGAGAGGTCAGAGCACGAAGAGACTACAGCAGAGAGCTCCAAAGTTTAGGAGCAGCAGCACTAAAAGACCTTCCACCAAGTGACGAAGAGTCTTGATTGTGGAACTGCAAGAAGTCCACAGTCCGAAGATCTGAGGGAGCGAGAGAGACAGTCAGGATGAAGGAGCTCACTGAGGTATAAGGGTGAGATCATGAAGTGCTCTCTAAGTTAGCAGCAGACGTTTGTACCTGATACAGGAAGGTACAGGTAATCAGTGAAGCTGGTGGATGATGGGGGTGATGTGTGCAGTGAATGAACTGAAACCAGCTGAGCAGTTCAACAGGGAGACCATTAAAGGGAGAGTTAATCAATGCGGGAGAGAATGAAGGCATTTCCCAGCATTTTTGCATCAGTGTTGCTGAGCGGAGGGTGGAGACGTGCAATACTGCGCAGATAATAATATGTAGTCTTGGTGAATGAGTTCATGTGTGTGTCTGGAGAGGAATTCATGCCAAATTAAAGAGCAGTCACTCCAGAGGAAAGGCAATGCACACACGACTTTTCCATAGTGACGTGCAGAATACACGCTAAAATGAAAAGTGCTTTCATGACGCTTGACCTCTTTACTGAAAAACAATAAGTAAGAATTACATTTTAAAAACAATATGCAAAATTTGAATATGATCTGTCCTGAAATGTAATAATGGCACATCTATATTGCTTTCCACTGTGCAGTACTTTAAACAACGTTAAAGGAATGTAATGGATCTTTCACACTTCATTTTACTGTATTACAGTATAACATAACGCTCACTTGCACAACTGTACAGATGTTACATTTTTACAAGTGTTCATTTCTCTCTGTAATACTCTGTATATAAGAATTATTATGTAACGCATCTCCTCAGACCTGCATGTGTGTAGATATTCACAGATCTCTTTAGCTCCTCTCACACTGGCTCTTTATTTTTCTTATTGTTTATTGTATTTTTATTGTAACTGTCTCTTAGTTAAATACTTATCAACAGTCTGTGTGCTTGTCTGGTCTGGTCAGTCTGTTCATACATGTGTGCACTCACCAAAACATATTGCTTGTATTTGTAACATGGTGAAATTAAGTGATTCTGATTCTTATTTAAAGGGAAATTCCACCAATTTTTCCAAATTTCTAAACAATTTAGTCTTTGAGATGTAAACAAAGTCATTCAGAGTGGAAATGGTTCACTGTAGAACTTACAGAAATTTACTATGCAAAACCACCAGTGCACCTACATTTGTCTTCTGAGTTTTTATATGTAATGTTGATGATGATAAAATAGTAGGAAATCTGGGAAAAACAAACTATTTTGCCTTACAACACCCTACATCTACCTCTCCACCATAAATGGATTAAAATATATGGATTCAAATAAATTTTAAGCCAAAACTTAACCACAAAACTATCATATAACAATGTGTCAATAATCAGCAACCATTTCATGTAATAACTTTCTGTGAGGGAGCTTTTAGAGGTGGACGTCTGGTTCCTATCACCACCACTGTGAACAATTCTGACTCAGTAAGTCTCTCTAGAACAGAGCACTTCACACCAAACCACTCTGAATGACTCTGTTCACATCTTAATCATTTAATTATGTAGAATGTTTTGTAAAATTAGTGGAGTTCCCCTTTAATGAAGCACCGCAAAAGAACCCACATAGCACCACTGCGACTGCGCAGGTCCGACACGTGTGAACACGGCCCAGTTGCAGCCCATAATCGTTGCTTACAAAGCGAAAAACAAAGTTCATCATTTTGCTGAAGACCTCGCGGAGATGCGAGAGGCTCTATAACACATACAGGCCTGGCTGAAGTTAACTTAAACCAGGATCTTCTAAATGACCCCGAACTGAACACGCCGTCTTAGTAAAACCGCTCATAAGAGTCGCTACGATTTAAATGCGTTTTGGATTTTGTAAAATATAAGTTACCTGCTGGTGCTGCGTGGTTCACCGTTACCGATATTCTGGTGTCTAAACAAACGTACATAATGAATTATGTTTAATTTACAACATGTACTGTTTCAGAATAAGTTGTTTTCTTCCCTCCAGACTTCAATTCTAAAGTGTTTTGTCAGTTGTAGTTTCGAGAGTGCGACGTCTCAACGCGTTTCGCTCTGAGCAGGCAGGCTGAAGAACTACAACACCCATGACGAACGAGCTACCGGCAAAATAAAAGCCAGCTAGCTGAGGAAGAATTTACATCTAAGCGCTTGTTTAAAGTCTCTAAAACAGACAGTTTCACTAACTACACAGATATTACATTGGTGTTTTAAGCGCATCTGTAGAAGTTTGCCTGTTATATTGATAAACAGGTTGCTAATATCGGAACGAAACTCGCTCAAACGCCGTTAATGTTCCACTGTACTGAAAAAAAAAAAATAAATGTAAAAAAACGTAGCCGAAAATAATGTCCAGAAGGCCTAACTCCTCCCAGTCTGTGTTTACACCTGCCTAACCACTCAGTAATAATCGATAATAGCTGTAATTTAAAGGTTGTTACCTTGTTAGTTTGGTAAAAGTCGGCATTTTGAAAACGAGTCTCCCTCCTTTAGTTCTGTGCCTGACGTCACTGGCAGCGTGTGGCCCTCTGGTGGCTGCAAATGCAAACTGCAAGCTGAACAGGTACACACTTAGAAGAGATCGTTCTTCAAGGGTTCCTTAGGAAAGGCAATTCCATCTAGAACCACGAGTTCTATATAGAACCATTTCATGCTAAAACGGTTATTTGCATGGTGAAATGGTTCTTGAGACTGAAGGAGAATGTGCTGCATAATGTTCTACGTAGATCCTTTTTGAAAACAGTTCTTTACAGCACCAAAAAGGGTTCTTCTATCGTTACGAAAGGTTTTCAAAAAGGTTCTATATAGAACCCCATATACAACACGTTCTCTATCAATATGAAGAACCATTTCACCATGCAAATAACCATTTAAGCATGCATAAGTTCTAAATAGAACTCATGGTTCTAACTAGAACCATTTTCTTTACTAAAGGAACCCTTAAAGAGCCATCTTTTTAAGAGTGTACGCTCATGACCTTTATGTACCACAAAGTTAGAATTATTTGTTTGACTTTTTTTCCCAGTGTCTCTTTATTCCTTACAAATAAACAGACTGTTTTTTTATTACTGCACCTTTAAGACTGATATATTTAAATGACTTCTGTTCTGATTGACTGTTCCTCATTCAAAAAGCAGGTTTACGTACTAAATCAAACGCTTTTATTTCAAAACTGCAAGAAAAGTGTGGTTTTAAATCTTGCCTGAAATTTCACTTAATGAAATTGTGCATCGTCTTATCGGAACGTCCCTAATCTGGTGTGGTTTTTCCTCCTTTAAGTGAACAGACGGGATAAACTCAACAAGAACAGGTGCTAAACAGGTACAATGTTATGTATGACACAATATTGTGAGCAGTTCTTTTTGACGGCCAGCGTAGAAACTCGCAGTCTGTAGTTGCAGACACGCGTCACAAGCAGGTACAGCAGCGCTTTTAGAGAAAAAGTAACGTTTCTACTGAAGCTTCGTTTTCAACATATTAAAAAATGTTAAACCAAGATTTTTATACTGTTATGAATAACATATAAATGAGTGAGCTGCACTGAAACATACAATCTGATTAATTTAATGAACACTATATGACTTCCATATCCTTCCATAAGTAACATACACACTTAAAAAGATGGTTCTTTAAGGGTTCTTATGTGAAGATATAGAACCATGAACACTCAAAGACCACACCGCATGATTAAAGGGTTATTTGCATCGTGAAAGGGTTCTTCAGATTCATGGATAACGTGACGTAGATGGTTCTATATAGAACCTTTTTGAATAGGGTTCTGTACAGCACCAAATATTGCTTTTCTGTTGTTATGATGTCAGGCTGGTTACGATAGAAGAACCCTTGTAGTGCTATATAGAACCCTTTTTAAAAAGGTTTAAAAAGGTTGAATCATGCAAAAGGTTATTTGAGTGTTCATGGTTCCATACAGAACCATTTTCTTTACTGAAGAACCCTTGAAGAACCATCTTTTTATAACCATCTATAATACTGTGCAGAGAGACCACCTTTCACCCCCTTTATTTCATTTCCAGTCAAAATGGACCTTACAAGGTGTTCACATTTCAGAGAAAAAACCTAAAACATATTTCACAGAAAATGACAGTAAATTACTAAATTATACCTAATTATCTCCAAGTAATCAAACACATCCAGTGATGTTGAAGTCTGGACATTTCTGCTCCTGCTACTTGGGAGAAAAACGATTATAAGTGGTCATGAAATGGTTTGGTATAGTGTAATAGGTGACACCTCTGCCTTCTACGCTGTAGACTGGGGTTCAATCCATGCCTGGGTAATCACCCTACACTATACCAATAAGAGTCCTTGGGCAAGACTCCTAACACCACCTTCACCTACCTGTGTAAAATGATCAAATTGTAGGTCGCTCTGGATAAGAGCGTCTGGTAAATGCCATAAACGTGAATTTAAAAATGGACATTAGCAGTGAAATATGAAAAGAGGGAAGCAGAAAGGTTACAAAAGTATACTGTTATGTAAGAAGCACATCTTACACAGCTGGCTGACCAACTTCAGCCCTACAGGCTCACAGCACTTTCGTTCCGCTCATTCAGCTAATTAAACAAATTAAAATCTCAGGCTTATTTCATACTAAGGCTTATTATTTAGCTATTCTTAGGTTATAGAAGTGTGTGATAAAACTCTGGGCCTGCTGGTGGGACCTGGACAGTTAAGGGGTAAAGCGCTTCATTTCAATAACAAGGGACGTCGCTCTGCTGATGTGCCAACATGCATAATGTGGATAGAGAAGATGACGATGAAGGTTTGAAATAAGCATAAAGAAGGCAATGGTTCACTACCATCCCTTTCAAATGGCATCATTAAGATCTTCAGCCCAGCAGTGTTTATGCCGTTTACACCTCCAGACTTCAAAGACGGTAATATCACAGAGGCGTAGAGAGGAACTTCATTGATTTTTAAAAACTGGTGCATAATTAAATGTTTAAGATGTAAACAGAGTCATTCAGAGTGGTTTGGTGTGAAATGCTCTGTTCTAGAGAAACTTACAGAGTCAGAGTTGTTCACAGTGGTGGTGATAGGAACCAGACGTCCACCTCTAAAAGCTCCCTCTCAGCAAGTTATCACCTGAAATGGTTATGAATTCACTGCCTGATGTCTGAGACATCACTGTTACACGATAACCAATAAGAACGTTGTGAGAGAAGCGCATAACTCCCATATAAATCCACAACAAATGAATTTTCGAAGTTTTTATTCACTGCTTCATCAAAAACCTACTAAAAATGCAGCTGAAATCTAACATATTTAAACGTTATCATTCTGAAATGTGCTTTTTTGTGGCGAAAAATAAATTAGCCAAAGTTCAAAACATTTTTTAACTGATCTCATTCACTTTGATTCAGATATTTATGCATTTGGTCAAACAACACAGCAGTACTAAAACACTTACAGACTTTTCTATCCACTGTTAAAACTAACCCCTGACTCACTTAACCCCCTTCTATGGAGTAAGTTTGCCTGAATTGTTCACAAAATCGTTCAAAACACAGTTTATGTTTTCACTTGTGGCACAGATGTGCAGGATGCCTGTATAAAATACTGTTAATCTTCCTCAAATACTTAAAAAATTCCCAAACCAAAATCTGTCCACAAAGCCTACATGTATAAATGTGTGTGATTTTGCTTTAGAGTTCGTCCATCATGGCCAGCAGGTCATCGCCTTTGTTGCTGGGTCCTTCAGGCTGGTCCTGCTGCTCGGCGAACTCGGCTGCGATGCGAGTCAGCTCAGTGTCGGCCTGATGATCCTGGATGAAGACAGAGTGACAGACACACCGTCCACTTTATTAGAAACACTTCACCACCTGTCATTTATTTCATTTACAGTTAAAACTGCCATTAAAGACAGTTATTATTTTTTTCAGGAGATATTCAGAGAAGGTTAGATAGAAGATCATCCACCCGCATAAGGAAGGAGAACTGGAGTTCAAAGAAAACTGAACTCCTAACAACCACCTGAAAGACCTGGTAGACATCAACACTGTCCCCATCAGATTAACAGCACTTAAAGCTTTCATCTTTGAGAGAGAGGAGAAAATCAAGCTGCTTCAGATTTGAAAACATCCACAGGTGTTTCTGTCCATCCTTCCACTGTGAGAAGACAACTCAGCGATATGGGTCTGAAAGGACGTGTAGCTGTGAAGAAGAACCTCACTGAGAAAAGGAGACGGACACATCAAACAAAGAAGCTGAACAATGGACTGACCACCCCAGAGTCCAGACCTCAACACCACTGAATGGGTTTGATTACTTCAGAAAATGTTAAACCAACTTCTAAGACTGAACTTTGGAGGTGTGAAAAATATCCCTGCAGATTTCTTTGAGAAACCGAAAGCGAGTCTTGTGAAAAGAACAGAAGCTGTAATAAAGGAAAAGAGTGACACACTGAGTACTGAAAAATACTATTAAATGTAGTCTTTTATGTAATTTCTGGTTATATTTACATTTTCCTTTTTCCCCCTTGACTTAATGGCTGTTCTGATTGAAAATAAAACAAATAAAGGGTAAGTAAAGGTTGGTCTCTGACTCAGCACACTACTGTGTAAGTCCACTATATAGGTTTGCGATTACAGAAAGGCGGAGCGTGCAGCAAATAACCTGATTACTGGGCTTTTATTATACAGCTTTTTTATTGGATTTCTAGAAACCTGATAATGGTATATATGATAGTGTATTATTCTGTTTACACAACCACTTTATAATCTGGTATCTGCGAAACCAGATAATGACTGTACTACTAGTTTGCATACGAACACATTCACTGTGACTTTGACTTAGTGACAGTGTAAAGAAGTCCGAGATGAATTAGTTCAAAGCCTGTGATTTGGTGACACTGATGAATGGCTCTTAGCTCTAAGTAGAGGAGCACCAACAGCCTTCAGCGATGAACCTTCACCCAGTAAGATGACATACGCAAGGTAGTTATGCAAATGTGGGCCTAAACCCTGCCAGGGACAGCACCTTGCCTTTGTTGCCTGAATATTTATGACACCGAATGATGGTTCGTCCGCCCCCTCTGAGATTCCCCTGTAAAGATAAGTTCAAGCGTCATTTAGAATCTGTAGCAGCTATTCTGTAACAGCTCTTCACATTGATAGGTCTGACTGTCCTTCATTACACTGGGCCAACAAATCTTCATTCGGTTCACTATTACTGTTTAAAGGGGTTTTTGGAGTTTCCATAATGTCTGCATAATTTCACCAATGTGATGTGAACAAAGTCATTCAGGGTGGTTTGGTGTAAAATGGTTCATTGTAGAGAAACTTACAGACTCAGGTTTCTTTACAGTGGTGGTGATAGGAACCAGGGATCACAACGTCTACAACCATCACATTCATGGTTGGAGATTCCCCTCCCCGCCTGCAGAGGTCCCTCTCTCCTTAGATTTAATGGCTGACTGCTCACCTGAAGCTTGTTTTCTCATCACTCTCTCTATATATAGCTCGTATTTTGGCTAGGGTCCTTGCAAAGTCTTGCCAGATCATTCTCTGCAGTTCTAAGCCTGGGTACTTATTGTTCTTGGTGTTTTTCATGTTCTTTGACCTTCTGCTTGTCTACTGGCTTTTCTGATTTTTTGGATTTCGTCTTTGCTGTGGTTGCCTCGGACTGTCTGTATTACTCTCTGCCTGAAATAAAGTCAGCTCGCGCTTGGATCCAATATCAAGTCTGTTCCTTGGCATTAAAACACAAATACAGCCATTTTATTTACTGTCCAAAAACACATATATAATGTTACATGTTATATAATGATAATGGTGAAACAGTGGTACATCTGAAAAAAAAGTTTTCTTTGGGGACTACTGTACACCCTGAATGTACCTCTCCACCATTAATGGGTTTAAAAATTACGTTTTAGGACAAAATCTTCTCACAAGTTTCATAAAACAGTGTCTCAGACGTCAGACAGTGTCTTCAGAACCATTTCATGTAGTAACTTTCTGTGAGGGAGCTTTTAGAGGTGGACGTCTGGTTCCTATCACCACCACTGTGAACAATTCTGACTCTGTAAGTTTGTCTCTCAAACCAGAACAGGTAAAGTTACTTGTACTAGATTTTTTTTAAAACAGTTTTTAAGAACAGTTCAATGCAGTTTTTTGCTTTAAACCACACCTTTAATTACATTTGGTGAATTACATTTTGCATTTATGGAATTTAGTAAATGCTTCTATCCAGAGTGACTTGCAGTTGTTCTTGCCTGTGTGAGGAATCAGACCTCAATCTGCCGTTTTTAACAGATTATTTTATGATTCAAGAAAACCTGAAATACATATTACATTAGTATTAGTATTTTGATATTCTACAAGAAAAGGGTGACAAGAAATAGCCTACAGGCTGTGTGTTTCAAGATCAAGGTCAAAGTTCAACTAAATTGTGCTGTGTAGCTCTACAAAGTACAGCCATAACGACTCCTTCAGAAGTGACTGGATGAGATGTGTGCAAAACCTTTTTGCAGCAGTGATGTGAACGTACCTTTAGAAATATGACAGGATCTATTTATGCCTGGTTCTGACTAAATGACACTAAAACTAAAGCACGTATCACAACAGTCCAAACTTGTGAATGTTGGAAAAATTGCAACCATTGGACTCAGCTTGCCCCATACAGCAACCCCATGACAATTTGAGTAAAACACACCAAAAGGACAACAGATGTTGTGTTGTGAGCTGTGATTTTCATAAATTTGTCATTTGGACACGTTTTCATCAGAGCAGAGTTTGGCAGGGCTGCAAGACTCTTCAACACAGAAGTGGAGTTTTACTGAGCTGTAAGCCGAGAGACTCACAGCAGCAGTGGAGTCTGACTGGGCCGTGAGCCGGCTGACTTTGCACCATGGAAGCGGAGGGTGACTTTGCTTCAACAGCCGTGACAGTGGCTTTAAAATGTGAACATTCCCTAAAATGCAACATGTATGATTTCCGTGGTCCAACATGGAGGATCTTTTTTTTGCCGCCAATGTTCCGAACCAGTCTCGATCACTTAATAAGGTGAAACAAACTACAAAAGTCTAGCGTGACTGCGACTTAACAACCCTGCTTAATGGCAGGGCTCCCCAGTGAAGGATCTTAAGGAAACAACAGCTTCCTTGCTCTCTTCTCCTTTAGAAGTAGACCTGCCATTATATCCAGCTTTGTTTCTGCTCAGAGATGTTTCAATACTTAACTTGAAACCCAGTCAAAATGAAACAGTAATGGCTTCTCTGACAGCAGTTCAGAAATGTCATGCAGTACCAAGTGTACACTTAAGACATACATTCCTGCTCTATTTTATGGATGTCATGGTCCTGGAGCGGCCAGACTGAATCGAGCAAAGGCTGACACTGTGGTCACCTGGTCAGCAGCCATTTACTTTGTCCAAAAAGTTTGGGACAGGACTTTGTCTAATTGAATTTATTTTAATTAATTGTGCGTCTTTGTGTCTGTTTTTTTGTTGGACTGTTAGTTTTTGTACTGAAAGTGTATTTTCACAGAACACCCCTTTTAAATGCTCAGGGTTGATGTGTTTTTCTTACCCCTCGTCCTCGTCTGTGGGGAACAGGTTCACTCTGATTCCTGTGTCTGCATGTGCGAGACTCCACACCTCCATCCCTCCCATCAGCTTAGCCAGCAGATTCAGCTCCTCCTTAGCCAAAGGGTTGGGACCCACACTCTCCTGTTTGATGTACATAGGTGCATATAACTGCTACACCTCAAACCATACTGTCGCTGTGTAAAGAACAAGTTTTTCAGTTTGAACATTTTACACTGTTTGGAAACAGCTGTACTTCACACTGTGGGAATATTTCACAGCACGGTGTGGATGAATGGACCAACACAAATGGCCTGAAGTTATTTGAAAAAAAAATCTTCTGAATTAAAGTTAAGAATGTTTTTTTTTTATGTCCTCTGAAGAGTTTAGCCCCGACCCTTATCCACTACACCTGGTCCAGCTAATGACCGAAACACAGCCTGTTTGTATTTGGGTAGGAGGTGAAACCTGCAGGGAGGAACATACTGTCACTGTCAAAACAAAACCTCATATCCCAAAAAAGTGTACAGGAGAAACCTTCAGTGTAAATCAGTGTCAAAAATTTTATTCTAAGTTATTTTGGACCATTTCTACTCATTTTGGACCATTCGTCATGAAAAGTGGCAACTAACGTTAAAAAAAAACAAAAAACAAAAAAAAACAACAAAAACAAAGACGCGAGGTTTTGTCCCACAGCGACGATAAGTAAACTGTAAAGCCATGCTATTAATTAGCTTAAAGGACAGTTTGAAACTGAATATTTACCTGTTTGGCTTTAGAAGTGTTTTTGGAGGTGTCTGAGGTGCGGGTGTCTTCAGCTGAGGTGGCACTGTACCTGCGCAAACACAGAGGTTACAGAGTCACTGAGCGAACTTTACCTAGCAGACAGAACCAGGCTTTTAGGCTTCTGAAGGCTCTTAGCTCCAAAATGTTATGAAAGAACCACTTTCCAACAATTCAATATTGAATATGTTGTTAGTTGGCTTTACAAAATCCAGAAAACATTCTTGAACCAAACACAGGGTGTCTGTGAAACAGAAGGCAGCTGAGTGGCTGTTCAGTGCTGTATTCTGAGTGTCTTAGTAGACAGTTTTTATTCGTTAAGATTCTTCTGCAGGATGTTGGTTTGAGACAACTGGCGTTTTTCTACCAGGCAGCGCAGGAGTGGCACGGTGTGGTTACACATCTGTGATCTTGCATTTTGTTTTCATTTCCATTGCCAAGTGAAGACACCGCCATACTGCCTGTGCTGAATTTTGGTTACCCTTCTTCCCTGGGAACCAAGCGCACACTTCCTGGATGTATGGGCAGAGCTAGAAACAGTGGAGAATCCTGATTGGTCACACACAGTTACAGATTAGACTTGTCACGTATTGTCAGTCAAGTCAGTCAACCGCCATTTTTTAGAACTTGAAGCTCCTCCAGTGAAACAGTTGGTATGGCATAGAGCCGGGGTGTGAAACTCTGCAAATCCGTGGGCCAGCTGTGTTTTATTTTGTTTTTACTTAACATTTTGTCCTGACCCGAATGGGCCATTGTTTATTGAAAATATGCCAAAACTGCAACAGCAAAATAGGCATTAAATACTTATTCAAAAATAATTCTAAATACAAATAAATTGTTTTGGGTAGTTTTTTAAAAACTGCCTATTTGCTTAAACTAGACACCAGGCATCTTTTCTTTTTGTGTAACTGCTGACCCAGAGATTCTTGTTGGAGGTCAGAACCCACACTCTCCTGTTGCGTTGTGCATAGACCAAAAATTAAAACCTTGTTTTTTTAAAAGGTACGCGCACCTCTGAGCACTGTTGAATTTCTTAGCGCGCCACTCAGTGTTTTATTCAGTACTGTGACATGACTGGAATGAAGCTCCGGAATAACACTGTACCTTCAAAAACCAGCCTGGGGGAGGCATCTCAGTGATTTATGCAAATACTGGATCAGGTTATGAGTTGATGCTTTAATCATTAAGGGTTTCCCAAACAGAGATTGGTGGTTGCACTGCAGGGGGTTCATAATAGGAATGTCACTCTAAAATTAACCCTTGTGTGGTGCTGATGTGTTTGTTACTTAGTGGTCTGGTGGACCCACCACATTATTGTTTTTTAAGTCAGTACAGCCAAAGGTTCTCCTTTAGCAACTGTAGCCAGTCAGCAGCCTGTCCATGTTGTCCACCCTCACACACACATACACATATACACATGTGTAATATAAATGTGTGGGGGGTGAACAGTGTGAAGACACTGAAAATGTGATATGTGATGTTCTTCACTGAAAATGAGCAAAGGCCAAGAAATCTGGGGTTAAAATAATAATAAATTGCATCATTTTTTATTTTGGTAAACACTGAAAATGGGTCCCACAGACCCCAACACCACACACGGGTTAAATCACATACAATTACACATATAAAACTGTGAACACGTAAAAAAACTATCAAAATGTAACACTTTATCTATCACTAAATCAATTCTCGGGTCAAAAATGTCCTAATGTTTAAAACTCTACGTGAAATTCGGGTAAAATATCCTAACAGTGTAAATATGTTAGCTTTTATTTATTTATAATCCTTTATATTGTTAATTTTTGTGAAGGATAGAGTTTATATTTTTATCTTATTTTTACTTTTAGAATTATATATTTTGTCTCTAAAGTAACAAGTAAACTGTAAAAACCTTGTTAAGTAATTAACAAGGTTAATTACTTGCTTGTTAATTCTCTTCTCGCTACTTCTTTTCTTTTCTTGAGTATCTTGCGCTCCCTTTGCTGCTGTAACACTGAGAATTTCCCCATTGTGGGACTAATAAAGAATTATCTTATTATCTTATTATTATCTTATCTTAAAAGGCATGAATTGTCTGTACAGCTTTCTAATCAAAACATGAAGCCAGATTTATTGACATGCAAAACTAATCATAAAACCTTTTCATTAAAAGAAGTTGTTTAATTTAAAATTGCTGACACAAAACGTTGAGTACCTCTATCTAATCAGCACTGTGTCAGTTTCAGACACACCCTGTGAATGTTCAAATCGTGGAATTTGTTTGAAGAATGTTCCAGAAATGAATGGGCAATTCCTAATGAATCAACCTGAGTGACAGAGATTTCCAAAAACATCACACACGCAGGTACGTCCAACCCAAAGATCATAAATGCCTGATAAAGACGCAAAGAGCTTAATGACACACACTTATTGAGCAATTGTTTACTTGTTTGTGCCCAGACGTGTAACTCGGTCTCCAGAAATGTCAAATGAACCTTCTCGCACAGCGCTGGTGTAACAGCCTCCACTCGGAAACTCTCGCCTTCTTATTTCCCTGCCTCTGCTGTTAAACCACCTGAGAGAGGGAGAGAGAGTGAAAGAGAGAGAGAGAGAGAGAGAGAGAGAGAGAGAGATTATTTCACACACAACAACAACTTAGACCACATAGATTTAAATGTTATAAACTAGACAAAGGCATTTTTAGATATTTCAGAAGGATTTGAGTTTTTATACATTGCAAATTCTATACTATAATTATTATTTACAATAATTCTTGTCAGTTTTTGTGCACCATTGCTAATACAGGTGTTCAACTGTGCTCCAGCAGCTTGTGTAATCTCTGTTGAAAAACACTGTCAATTAAAATGGAGCAGACGCACATGAGCCTAAGGCAAGTGTCAGTTAAAGGGATATAGCACTGGGCTGTGGAGCAGTGGAGCTGTGTTCTCTGGATTGATGGAGCTCCATCCAGTACCTTTGGGATGATGAGTTGGACTAATCCAGAACTGACCAACCAACATCTGTACCTGACCTCACTAATGCTCAATCAGATCCTCACAGCAATGTTCCAACATCTGGTGTAAAGCCTTCCCAGAAGAGTAGAGGCTGTTACTGCAGCAAAGGAGGAACAAACTCCCTATTGATACCCTAGACTTCAGAAATCATGTCAAGTCAAAGTTTATTTATATAGTACTTTTTACAACTGGTGTTGTCACAAAGCAGCTTTACAGAAAATCTGGGTCCGAGCCCCAAAATGAGCATCGCCAAGTGAAACAGTGACAATAAAAACAAGATGAAAAGCAAGAGGAAGAATCCTTTAGAAGAACCAAGACTCGGAAGGGGAACCCATCCTCCTCTGGTCGACACCAGATACCAAAACAATAACACAATAAGAGCAAAATGAACAGAGAATAAGAGTTTACAATTAATATACAGTATAGAATACAGAGAAAAGGAAAAAAGAAACTGCCCTTTCATTGGACAGAAGAATTTAGATTAACCAGTGATAACCGATAACTACTGTTAGAGTAACAATGAGAAACAGATCTGTGAGAATCAGTCACCGTTACCACTGAAAACCAGTGACTACTACACTTAAAAAAACAAAACATGATTTTTCAAGGGTTTTTAGTAAAGAACATGGTTCTATATAGAATCATGAACATTCAAAGAACATTTTGCATGATTAAAGGGTTCTTTGTATCACGAAAGGGTTCTTCAGAGTAATGGAAAATGTGCATGAATGTGCTACAGATGGTTCTATATAGAATCTGTTTTGCTCTTAGCACCCAAAAGGGTTCTTCTATTGTTACAAGCATCTTAACAATAGAATTGGGTGCTATATAGAACCCTTTTCACAAAGGTTCTATATAGAACCATGTACAGCCCATTCTCTGTCAATCTGAAGATGCAAAGGACCACCACTGCCAGAATCAAGGGTTCTTTGAGTGTTCACGGTTCTATACAGAACCATTTTCTTCACTAAAGAACCCTTAAAGAGCCATATTTTTTAAGAGTGTAGTGAAGAAACCAGAGAAGAAATGCTGGATGAGCAGGTGTCTACAAACTTTTGGACATACAGTCAGATAAAGTCCAGCATCTGGTTACGTGACCCCTACAGTTTACCTGATTAAGCCTGGGACCTCAGAGCCGTGCGGAACAGGACCTGAAGTAGACAAAACAAAACGGCCGTCTGGGTTCTGAATTTTCTCTTTCAGGAAGATCGACACCTACAAGAACAAATACCAGATCCTCAGAACAGCACAACAAAACTGCACCTTTAAATTACTTTTCAAAGTACCTTTCAAAGAGAAAATGTACTAAAATGGTACCGGGTTCATAAACAGACACATTCATAGGTGAAGTGACATGTTTGTTCGCACATGACTCTACTTTAGAGCTGTTAGAGCCTCTTCCATTCATAATGCTTAGCTAGAAGAGCCTGGAATGAGATGATGGAGGTGATCTCCTCATCAGTCTGTAAGGTCTTACAATGTGAAATTGTCCATATGCTGCATATGTTTATGTGTACATGTACAGTTGTACACAATACAGGCTAACACAAGTTAACACATCCTCTTCAGAGAACACAAATATGTTGAGGGCTTTTTGTACAAAGGCCTTAACACAGTCAATTTCACAAATTTGCTTCAGTTTGAACAGTGACCTAGAAATAGTGCAGAATCTTGAACTGAAGAAGGACCGAACATCTTCTTCATTTTAAGTAATAATAATAATAATAATAATTTTATTTATATAGCACTTTTCATGCCGGTGGCAGCTCAAAGTGCTTTACAGACAGGTGATAAAACATAGTTATAGAAGAGATCATTAGTACTTAATTAGAAGAAATCAGAAGAAAATTAAAATTAAATTACAAGATAAACAAGATATTAATATTATCAATATTAAATATTTAAGTGTCCTAAAACTTTCTGTTGTTTATTTCCAAGTTTAAATGAAAAAAACCCACCAGATTTTCAATGTGGTCTCGGACTTTGGACCCCACTGAATATAAACGTTTATAAAGGCTTATTCCAATAGGCAACTGTTGTCATAAAGGCTGCTATTTATCATCTTCAGTGTTAAGTTGATATAACTCCCATGTCACGTGACGGTTTTGTTGACATTAAGTGTTATTATAACATTTTCATGGGTGAAAGAACACAGCACAATATGACAGCTGACTTTTTAGTGGCATTGTGTCCATTTTACTGTTCAACAACTGTTTCTAATAGTGTCCACTTCACATGCAATTCTGTCCTACATCTTTAATAAAATGGTTTAATACATGTTCTATCTCCATTTGACTGGGCTGGCCTGTGGTCAGTCTACCGTGGATGCGCCCTGCTGTGAATTATTAATGTAATAACAAGGTTTCATTATCAAAATGTTCTTGTGTACAAAAAACAGATCCTGAACTATTTAAAACAGTCCTCATGAATGAAAATCTCACCCTGATGTGCATGTCTTGAAAGAGAGCAAGTAGGGTTTGCCTTATGAGCTGAAGCTCACCATCTGATAGAGGTGTATACATCTGAAAGAAAACCAGAGAAAAAAGATGAGCACACTCTTAATCACACACAGTCACTGTAAGCTCCCATGTAAAAGTTTGAACACCCCTGATCAATGACAGGTTTTGTTGTGTGTGTGTTTGTGTACTTGTGCATTATTTGAACATGGCAGCAGCCAAGTTTAGATAAAACATCAAATATTAAATATGCCATAGCTTCTGCACACACCACATTTAATGCTGCACAATCTAAAGTGTTAAAATTCAGCAAATAAACAGTAATTTTATATTCAAATGTGCAGCAGAACTTATATTCACCTAGAAAATAAATGAAACATGCAACCAGGGGCGCACGTGATTGTGTTTGGGGTGAAGGGAAACAGTGTCAATACAGTGTTTCAATCTTCCAGAGAATCAACCCTTGAATGAATGAATGAATCAATGAATGAATCAGTGAATCATTTAATGAATCAATTGATAAATCTTCTGGGTCTGCTGTCAGATGCCAATCCTAAAACAGAGATATCTGTTGCTGTGTGCTTTGTGAATGGGTACCTCTATGATTTGACGCTGTGCATCATTTATCTGGTTAACGAGGCAGGGGCTGTCTGTGACCATTTCCCTGATCGCGTCGATGTGATTAAAGGAGATGAGCAGGAGATCTCGCGGCCGTGGACACAGCAGGATCTGGTGCTTAAACGCCATCGTCATCAGGTCATACAGCTGCAGATATGCACCAAACACTTAAACAAGCAGCAAAACCCAGAGAGCTATAACAATATGAGAGATCATAGTATATATAATATGGAAATTGCAGAGCATCTAAACCCCTTTGGCCCACGATAAACAACAGCCCACTATAAAAACATGCTATTTAATGAGAAAATATCTGGCTGTGAATGCAGTTTACATGCACAATAGATACATGTAAACCAAATGAGCTGAAACGTCTGTAAATAGCATTAAAAGACGACTTTGTAGTTCACAGCCAATGTGTCTGATAACATAAGCTTATGTTTCTGGTGATTAATGAGATATCCTTTGACAATGACATTTTAAAAATATTTCATACTGAAAGCTTGAGCTTCCCTGGTCAAATGACAGGCTATGTTGATTTTCTAACACGTCCTCTACGGGAAACAAACTTAAATGTGGAATTTTTCTCCAAATTTAAGTGCACAATTCAGTTTATTTGCTGGGTCTAAAATATTGAAAAAAATAAGACATAAAATATAAAATGTGCCATTACTTTTGCGCAGATCACATGTTATGTTTTATTTATCCAATAGGATAAATTCAGCATATACACAATAACTGTACATTAAGAAGTGAAGTGTGTTCTCTGTAAAGGGACGTGTTTACTTATTTTCACTTAGAAAATCAACAAAACACACCCAAACTTGTGCTTACAACTGCATTTTACACCAAATGACTGCCATTAAATATTAATAATGACAAAAAAGTCACCGTAAAAAGTCTAAAAACGTTTCAGAAGGGGCTCTAGATACAGGGACAATTACAAGCATAGTACAAGGTGGGGTGGGGGGCTACAATCCCACCCAATGATTAGAACTCAACCATACAACTCCCTCAATAATTAATTGTGATAATTATATATATATATATATATATATATATATATATATATATATAATAAAATGTGGTGACAATATTGGTTTTACTGATATAATACATGCTACTGCAAACAAGATTATCAGTGATCTATTAAATATTAATTCAAATATTTTTGTTGCTCCCTTCCCTGGTTCTAAAAACTCGGTTTTATTTATGTACAGTGAACATTCATAAGTGTTTTATACACTTCTGAGTAGTAAAAACATTATGCATGAAAGCAGTAATATCTACAACTTCTTACCATCAAACACTGTAAAAATAACTGACCACAGTTGGACGAGTGTTAACATACCATGTTACAGTTGTATGCAAAGTTTGGGCGCCCCTGGTCAAATTACATGCACATTTTAATGCACAATTACTATTTATTTACTGAATTTAACATATTGGAAAAAAAATGTTGCCTGTGCAAGAGTTTAAATATAGAGCACATACTATATTCTTTTATATTAACCTAAAATAAACAAATAAACAGAATTCTTTACTAAGATTTGCATAAAAAGTCATATTTAAGTTCTCTGTGAGGGTGTCTTAACATAATTTCACTTAGAAAGTTAACAAAACATGTTATATGACTGTGGTTGTTCAAACTTTCACATACAAGTGTTTATCATTGGTGAAATCAGATTAATATGTTTTTGCACATTTCCAAAGCTGTTTAATAGCTTTTAAAAGCTTGGAATACAAAGAAACTAATGGATTCTTGTCCAAATCAAGTGTCACCTCTGATGTGAAGCTCCGATAACCAAAGCAAAGACCTCTTATTCTGGACAAACTCTTAGAAAAGAACCATTCCATTATGCTTGGAACAGCTGAAGGTACGAGGATGACCAGCTACACGATGGATAGATACAAGAAGAATCATGAACAAACCATTAAAGAACCCAAACAGAAGACCAGATATTCTGGAGATCCACTATCCATATGGAGGTCAGGAGTGAGAACTGACTTAACATCACTTAATAATAAAAAGGTTCCTCACCCTGTCCATGCTGGCAGGGTTGAGCCTCATGATGGAGGTGTGCGCTAGCCGTGTCAGCACACAGCGCAAGGCTCTAATTGAGTAGACATCCTGCGGCTTCATCAGCTCCTCTATAAAAGCCTTACTGAACATGGTGCGCACTATATCATTCAGCACTACAGACAGGAAGATTAACATAGTCAAAAACACAGACAACATAATACTGAGTATCACTGAGTATGACAGACTTCGTCTTTACAGGCAAGGCAGGCTTCTACAAGTAGAATAACTTTCTATGGCATTTTATACAGGACTTCAGAGATCAGAGCCCACCCCTCATGTATTTAATTTCCAGTCAAATCAGTTATTCATTTTTCAGGAGATATGTTTGAGGAGATTAGATATACGATAATCCACTTGCATAAGGAAGGAGAAAGTCAAAGGAAAATAAGTAAAAAAAAACATGAGTTTCCAAAACTGGAATTCAAAAAATACTTAAAACCTACAGAGAAAATGTTAGACTCCTAACAACCACCTGGAAGACCTGTAGACACCAACACTGCCCCATCAGATAAACAGCACTTAAAGCTTTCATCTTTGAGAGAGAGGAGAAAATCAAGCTGCTTCAGATCTGAAAACATCCACAGGTGTTTCTGTCCATCCTTCCACTGAGAAGACGACTCAGCGCTGTGGGTCTGAAAGGATGTGTAGCTGTCAAGAAGAACCTCACTGAGAAAAGGAGACAGACACATCAAACAAAGAAGCTGAGCAATGGACTGACCACCCCAGAGTCCAGACCTCAACATCACTGAATGGGTTTGATTACTTGGATCGTAGCAGAAAGTGCAACAAACTTCTAATGTTAGTTCTTCTGTTAAACATGTTTCTGCGTATTTTTTCTCATGTTGAAAAATTAATTACTTGTACCTAAAGGACTATTTTGACTGGAAATTAAATAAATTAAGGTTTGAGCTCTGACTTTTGCAAAGTTCTGTATAAACTTTGATGTAAAACGTCATAAATTCAAAACAGAGTGGATGTTGCCTGTGTACAACATACTGTGTTTGGAGTAAAGCAGCAATAAAGCAGTAAATGCACCGTTACCATCTCATCATGTTCTCTGGAGGATGGATCTAAAGGGGTCTAAACTAGGTCACGGGGGTGTAAACCAGTGTACCTCTTTTTCTGTCTTCTTCTGACCAAAAACCTGCAAACAGTGTGAAGAATACTGAGTTTATTTCACTGAACATGGGGTTATAGTCTTGGTGAATAAGTTATAGACCAGGAGATCCCAACACTAATTGCTTAGGATGCAACACTATGTACATTTTCATGTTTTCCCTGATAAAACAACACCTGATTGAGCTAATCGATCAGTTGGCGAATCGATCTAATCGATCGGAGGTGGTGAAAATGAGTAGAACATAAAAATGTGCATCAGAACATAATCGGACTACAAAATACAGTCAGAAGCAAAAGGAAAATGTTTATATTACTATTTATTCATTATTTTTCCTATTTCATAGACAGTATAGTACATGATACAGAAACACCGCTATCAGGGATTAAAGTGGAATCAATGTTCAAAATTTCTGCATAATTAAACGGTTAAAATGTAAATATTCACAAACAAGTCATTCAGAGTGGTTTGACGCGAAATTAACCACTGTCAGAATTACAGTCACAGCGGTGGTGATAGGACCTAAACGCCTGAAGAGTTCAATGCCTCTAAAGGCTCCCTCACAGAAATTGACATGGAATGCTTATGAATTCACTGCCTGAAACACTATTTTATGAGCGTTTTGAAGACAAATTTTTAAATCTGTCCATGTTAAAGAAGTACCTGCAGGGCACTCTAGGGCAAAACAGTCTGCTGAAAAATCCAACACAGATCTATTGTTGGCTTAGCCGGTTTTTTAGCAATTTACTATTATCAACACCACACGTATTCCATATAAAGCTCAGAAGACTCGTGTAGGTTCACTGGTGGTTTTGGACAGTAAATAAAATGTCTATATTTGTGTTTGTATTTGTGTTCCTATCACCACCACTGTAAAGACATCTGAGTCTGTAAGTTTCTCTACAGTGAACCATTTCACACCAAACCATTCTGAATGACTTTGTTTACATCTAAACTGTTGAATTATACTGATTTTCTTTATCAGCTGAATTCTTCTTTACTGAGTATATTATAAAGTAGTGACATTGGCAGTTTGGGGACACATATTAATAGACAAACCTCTGAGGGACAGAACAAATAAGAAGTATAGAAAGAGGTAAGAAGTATAGAAACACCTCTGTTTCGTTAGTTTTGTTTAGACTGATTATAGTTCCAGGAATCCGAGTATTTTCCGAGTGGCTGAGCACATTTTGCGCAAGTGAACACGACCAGTTCAGGATTGGAAATAAAAAAATCCATTTTGAAAGGATTTAAGCCAAAAAATACTTATTTAGTTGATAAACTGCCGAAAAACAAGGGTTCTCGAGTGAGTGAAAGAAAAATAACAGTTAACAGATGGCAGAAAGAGGGCGTTTGCTGTTCTAACTAAAGGCGAAAGTTAGCGTGTTATTCGAATTTTCCGCTCCACCTTAAGAGGCGCCGCGGTTACAGTCTGGCGCGTGTAGAAGCGACAGAAGCAACAGAGTGTAACGGCTGCGCTTGTTAAGGTGGAACGGAGAGTTCGACTAAGAAGCTAAGATGAGTCTGTTCTAATGAGGGGGATTAGGTTCGCTAGCAGGTCGTGTAGTGAATATGGAGCTACTGGGGATAAACTACCTCTGACTAGGTTACCTCTCTGTGTTTTATCGTCTGTTTCGTTCTGGGCTCGGAGCCGTTGGTCCAAGATATAAAGCATTTCACCGCCCAGGTTTATAACGAGTAACGGTAACATCCTCAGAGACATGGCGCCAGCCTGAGGATCAGATGGATCTGTTCAGTCAGATTAAATATTATTCAGCCGGCCCAGCTTCTTCCTCAATCAATACATTCCCTACAGTTACATTCATGTTATCTCGAGAAATTAACCGCTGCTGCGAGATCAGTCTAGCTAATTTTAACGCGCTATAGGTTCTCTCCCCCTGAAGTGCAGTACTGATCAGACGGCGACCTGCAGAGAGACATAGCTACCAGCAGAGGGCGCGCGGAGGGTCGAACTGCAGCACCATATGAGGGCGTTTCTGTGATGCATATTTCGAGGATTAAGTGCTAACTGTAGCTGCCATGGGGTCTCGGATGCTGTACTGGCGACGGTGAGGACGCCGAGCCCGCCGGATTTCCTCACACTCCTGTCTGTCTGTGTGGATCGATCATTTTGATCATCATTCTCACTGTCTGTGAAACTCCATGCCCTCTTTGAATGGTGTGGAGATGGAGCCCCCGATAGCCGTGTAGACGACCCTGCCTGCGATTCTCCTTCAACAACACAGACAGACAGTTTCCTCCGAGTCCGTCTGGCTCTTTATTCTAGATAAACACGGTTTCCTGCTCATTCGTTTCAGACGGTTCTTATACTATAACAGGCTGGTGCTGATGTCCAGCAGAGATAGGGAGACTGAGTGTTTCTTTATGGGTGAACCGATATGAAAGTACAACTCCACCAACTCAACACCCCTCATTTAACACCAGGTGCTGCCTTTGCAAAGACTTTGGCCACATTACTGCATACCTTTCTGGTAATATCCCACTTTAATGTCGTCATCAATATCGTAATATATTATCATCTAAATATTATGACTTTCTTCTCAAAATATTAAGATTTTATTCTAAAAATGCGACTTTTGTTTCGAAATATTACGACTTTATTCTCAAAGTCTGCTATTTTTGTTTTTATTAGTGGCCCTCAAACACCGTGCGAGCTCTTTCATTACAGATTATGATGTCGGTGAGTTACTGTTACATTAACATTTTAGTACGACCTTGTGGAAAATAAGCACAGGGTTGCTTGATAGTCAGCAATACTCAACCTTGCCAGAGTTATATTGTGCAAGCTGGCAGCACCACGGCAACCCCTGCTGAATAAAGAGCATTAGGATTTAAAAAATGTTTTTGCCTCCTAATGGTTACCATTAGAGACCACTAGCTTTCAAGTGGAATTAGAATGTATCTGGAATCAGTCACTAGGTCACCTGCTAAACTATTCCTTTACATTATCAACCCATCAAGAAAAGCCAAAACGCATTACAAACCACCATGAACCAGCAGAAACTCTTATGTTATGATGGGCATTCAGACCGCAAGGTCAAGTCGGAGGTCACAAAACCGCAGACAGAACTCTACAAATCACCAGCGGCTGTAGATTCACGCATATTTGTTTTTAAATGCCAAATACTCATTATGTAAACATGTAGAAACAATATTAATTTAGTGTCAGTAACGTCTTTACAAATATTGATGTATTTTCCCGTTGAGTTTTATCCACCAATGAGAGAAGCCATTTCACAGACATATCGGCCAATGAATGATAAGCGGGCGTTCCTGATGTGGGCGTTCTTGTTTTACGGAAACGCCTTTCATTGCAATTCGACTCTATTGGGAGGGCGCCACTTTCAGAAAACAATGACATCAGTCATCAGTTCACTCAAAAAAACGATGGTTATTCAAGTGTTCTTTAGTAAACGTAGTACTTTTACTTAGAACAATGAGTTCTACTATGTAGAACCACTTTATGCTTTATGTCCTTTGGTTCTTCAGGTTGTGTTGGTTCTGTAAAGCACCAAAATGGGTTCTTCTGTTGTTATGATGTTAAGCTTAACAAAAGAAAAACCCTTTTTGGTGCTATTTAGAACTATTTTCAAAAAGGGAACCATACACGACACATTCTCCCATCAATCTGGAGAACAATTTCACCATGCAAAGAACCAGTTAAGCATGCAAATGGTTCTATATAAAACTCATGGATCTAAACAGAACCACTACTTGCACTAAAGAACCCTTGAAGAAGCATGTTTTTGAAGAGTGTAGTAAACCTGGAGGGATTCAGTATTGAAAAGACTTTAGATATTAATTTCCTCCCTCGTTATCTCTTTCATCAGCAAGTTCGTCTTTGCCCTTTGGGTTATTTGTGTAAAGCCACAGTAAATCAGCACTGATTTGCATAATTTCTGAGGTCTACAAAGCAAATATTTATACTTCAAGAACAGGAGAATGTCACATGGGAACAAGTCACTGAGCTGTAAGCATACAGTCTATTGATGTAAGTAGCCTAACAAGTAAGTCTTGACACTTAAAGGGGAAGTCCACTGACTTTTTAAAAAAAAACTTCTACAAAATTCACTCGCTGAGATGTGAACAAACTCATTCAGAGTGGTTTGGTGTGAAATGATTCATTGTAAAGAAGCTTACACACTCAGATTTCTTTACAGTGGTGGTGATGGGAACCAGGGGTCACAATGTCTACAACACAAATATAGACATTTTATTTACTATCCAAAACCACCAGTGAACCTACACGAGTCTTCTGAGTTTTTATATATGTCTTTTTAAAGATATGTTGTTTTTTTTTGGGGCTTTTCTTAAAACTATCCTAAAACAATGGGCCTCATTCACCAATCATTCTTAAGAAGGAATTTCTTCTTAAAACCTACTTATGGGGTTGGTTCTTAGGTAAGAACAGAATCTACACACAGTCAAGAGCACAAAGGTGTAAACAGTTCTGCGGTTTAAGAACACGTCATGAATCTGATGTAGACTTTTTCTTAAGACCTTTTAAGAAAAAACTTAGAAGAAGATATTGATGAATGAGGCCCAGCGTCTCAGACATCAGGCAGTGTATTCATAACCATTTCTTTTAGAGCTTTTAGAGGCATTAAACTCTTCAGACGTCTGGTTCCTATTACCACTACTTTCTACTAAGTTATTATTAATGGTAATTGTGATAAACCATTATTCTGCCAAGAAATGAGGTTCCTTTAGAGCAGGGTTTTGACCATAAGTGGGCCTCACAGCCCCCTCTTGTGGTCCTTAGGACTATACTGAATGGGGAACAAGCGAGCCGTAGTGGGCCGCTGACTGCACCTTGTCATAAAAGTCAATAAAAACATGTTTTCAATATGTTTAAGCAATATTAATACAAGTCGTGCAACAACTGTGCGCAAAGCAGCTTTATCAGTTGTCTCTAGAACCCCCCCCCCGCCCCTCAAAACATTCTGCTTAATTTACACCATTCTGCTGTTGAAAATTGCCCCAAAATGATATTTTTAAGCAAAAAAGTTATGTTTTCGTTTGAGTCTTCATGCTTTCTAGAGATAAATAGGTGGGTCTCGAGGTGTAAAAGGCTGAGGACCCCATGTTAGAGTATGTTATTGTTGCCAAGCAACCGTGGACTGCTGAATGAAGAACGTTTAGTTGCCCATCATCATGTACTGCAGGCTTTTCATTAACTTTTTTGACTTTCTGTAATATAATACTGAACATACAATACAGCGTAATTCAAAAAGATTCACCTGCTTTCAAAATGATTTATTTGACTTGTAAATCATTACAGAACAATGCAGTGAACTGTAAATGGTTTAAATGAGCATAAAGTTTATTATGTAATTCTAGAAGTGCTCAGTATGCACCTCCTCCAGCCGTACGGACAACATCAACGCCATAGTCAAATTCATCCCATACTCGACTGAGCATGTCGGGTGTCGCTGCACTCACGGCTCCTTCAGTGCGATTTCGGAGATCATCCAGTGTTGTGGAACCAGCGGCGAACGCTCTGAGCTGTTGGAGGTTCACTGCTGATGAAAATCACACTGCACAGTTATGACGGATTCACTCTTATTGAAGTGGAGAACGCAAAACGCTTTCTGTTCAGGGGTCTCCATCTCCTCGCAGACTGAAGGGAGCCATATTTATGGGGCAGTCATGGGCTGGAGGTTAGGGAACCAGCCTTCTGACTGGAAGGTCGCTGGTTAGATCCCCTGAGCCGACAGGACATGACTGAAGTGCCCTTGAGCAAGGCACCTAACCCCCACCTGCTCCTCGGGCACCATGGATAGGGCTGCCCACTGCTCCGGGCAGGTGTGCTTTTTAGTCCAGGATCAGCTTTACCTGGGTCTGGGACACCAGCCCTATAAGAAGTATTCTTTGAATGATTTCTTTTAGTTCATTCAATGGAATGAAGTTCTTTACTGAGATGTGCCACTCTGAAGAACGTTTTATGTTTATATTTAAAGAACTACCACAAAACATTTTCTAGGAAGAAACCTTAAATTGGCAAAGAACACTTACATTATGTGAAGGTTTTTTATAATTTTGAGAGGTTCTTTACTGTCACAAATCTAATTTACAGACATAATTCCTGAGTGAACTAAAGTGGTTCTTCTATGATATCAATCAAATAACATTTGGTTTGATTTTTTTTAAAGAGTGTAGCATTTACTAAAGAACCCTTGAAGAAACACTTCTAGAACGGGTCTAAAAGTCTGAGACCTCTGATGAAATGCTTCTATTTTGCACTCTTTTCTTATTTATTACAACGTATTTCATCACAAATAATCTTATCAGTACAACAATCTGAGTGAAAAGAAGAATCTTTGAATGTTTTCATGAATTGCAGAATTTCTTCTACTTTGAGCGGCATGTCCCTCTTTTGCTGGCATTGACTCCATGTTTATGCAAAAGCCTCTGATGAATAGACTAATCCAACCTGAGAGTCATCTGAAAATAAGCTTTACTGGAAGGAAAAACTGACCTCTAAGGCCTTAACATAGTCCATTTCACAAATTTGCTTCAATTTGAACAGGGAATAAGAAATAGTGCAGAATCTTCAATATTTCTTCGTTATTTTAGTCATCATAACTTTGTTTTTTTAAATGTTTAAGATGGCGTGTCAGCGTGTTTTGAGCTGGTACGAGTGGATCAGACACAGTAGTGCTATTGGAGTCTCTAAACACTGTGTCCACTCACTGTCCACTCTATTAGACACTCCTACCTTGTCAATCCACCTTGTAGATGTAAAGTCAGAGACGATAGCTCATCTGCTGCTGCACAGTTTGTGTTGGTCATCCTCTAGTCCTTCATCAGTGGTCACAGGACGCTGCCCAGAGGACACTGTTGGCTGGATATTTTTGGTTGGTGGACTATTCTCAGTCCAGCAGTGACACTGAGGTGTTTAAAAACTCCAGCAGCACTGCTG